GGGGGTGCGTGGGGGGTGCGTGGGGGTGCGTGGGGGGTGCGTGGGGGGTGCGTGGGGGGTGCGTGGGGGGTGCGTGGGGGGTGCGTGGGGGGTGCGTGGGGGGTGCGTGGGGGGTGGAGAGTGTGGGTGTGGCAGTGCTACTTTGGCTTATGCAGTGAATTGGCAGGTTGAAGCAGAAGGATATGTGGCAAACACGCAGAAGCCATGTCTCATTCTCCCTCCCTGCAGTTCAAACAACCCAGCCCTCACACACACAGCCCTTATCCTTGCACTCCTTTCCCATTTCCCAAAACTCATTATCCCCCTGTTACCCTTCTCCTGCTTATGCCTTCTGCATGGTGGCCACCATTGTGCATCTGCACAGCATCGCATTCCCTCACCAACCCCTCTCCATCCCTCTTGCTCTCTTTCTCTCATGCTCTCTAGTCTCTTGCTCTCTTGCTCTCTTGCTCTCTTGCTCTCTTTCCTTCTTACCCGCCCCTGCCTCCCCCCCCCATCCCCTTCCCGCCTGCTTCCAACAGGAGGCGATATTCCGCGTGGTGGCGGCCATTCTGCACCTGGGCAACATCACATTCAAGGCGGGCACGGCAGTGGACTCGTCCAAGCTGCACGGCGACAAGTCCAAGTTCCACCTTGAGGCCGTTGCAGAGCTGCTCAGGTGAGGCTAGCAGACAGGGCAGGGGTGCAGCGCGTGTGCTCGCTAAGGTACTGGTTTGTACCTAGTAGTCAGCATAACCAGGCAAGCAGCCTGCACGGCGACAAGTCCAAGTTCCACCTCGAGGCCGTCGCTGAGCTGCTCAGGTGCGGCTAGCAGACAGACAGGGATGCAGGGCGTGTGCGTTGTGCTCGCTTAGGTTGGTTTGTACCTTAGAAGTCACCATAAGCAGGCAGGCAAGCAAGCGAGCAGCCAGACTCCTCCAAGCTGCACGGTGACAAGTCCAAGTTCCACCTAGAGGCTGTTGCAGAGCTGCTCAGGTGCGCTGCCTGCCCTCCGCTGTGCACGCTCCTACGCACTGTCCTTCACTAATGTCCCACGCACGCCCGCTCCCACGCCGCATGCGCTCACTAACCACTGCCACTGGCGCATGCGCGCACAAGACAAGCTGCAGCAAGGGCTGCTGTGGTGGCAATGCAGGGGACGGGGTGTGGGCAGGTGTTGGGCAGTGGTGGAGGTAGAGGTTCAGATTGCGAAGGTTAGAAGGTGGAGCATAGGGTGGAGCAGGTAAGGGAGTGGTGGGTGAGGAGTGAGGCAGCATGGGTGCAACGCTCAGACAGCGTCTGCCCACATTGCACCAAGGTGCACTTCCAAGCACGTGTGTGGGGGCCTTGAGTCAACCCTGGGCGCCTGCCCTCATTGCACCGTTGTCAGGCTTCATCCAGGTCCCGCCCCTTCATTTTTTGTGGCCGTCACTCTCCCATGTGTGCAAATGCGTGTGCGTGTGCATGTGCGCAAATGCGTGTGCGTGTGCATGTGCATGTGCGTATGCACATGCATGCAGGTGTGAGAAGAAGAAGCTGCGGGAGTCGTTGTTGACGCGCACGTTGGTGACGCGGGACGGCAACATCAAGAAGGACCTGGACCCCGCTGCTGCTGTCGTCAGCCGAGACACCCTCGCCAAGACCATCTACTCTCGCCTCTTTGACTGGTGCGCGCTGCCCGTTGCTGCTGCTGCTGCTGCTGCTGCTGCTGCTGCTGCTGCTGCTTCTGCTGCTGCTGCTGCTTCTGCCGCGCCCGCCCGTTGCTGCTGCTCCGCCCCTGCCTGCTGCTGCTGTGCTGTTTACCGTTGCCTTGCCTCTCTTTCTTCGTATCCCATTGCCTTTACCCCTCTTGTGCCGTGGCCCAGAAATACCCCTGTGCTGTGTTGTGCCCCATACTATACATACCACATGTGCACAGCAGGCTGGTGGACATTCCATAGCACAGCACGTCAACTCCAAGTCAAGACCATGGTTGGCTTGCTCAACTCAATGTATGCATCAAAACTAATCGTCTCCGTTGGTTCGTCTCTGTCTCCCCATGGCCCCAGGCTAGTGGACAAGGTCAACAAGTCCATAGGGCAGGACCCCGAGTGTGCGTCTATCATCGGTGTGCTTGACATCTATGGCTTCGAGACCTTCCAGTTCAACAGGTCACACCCACGCTTCCACCTCCCCACCTCCACCTTCATTCCCATCACCACCCCCGTTCCCATCCCCACCCCCATTCCCAACCCACCCCCACCCCCCTCCACCTTTTCCTCTTCATTCCGTTTTCCCGCCACTTTCCATTCACCTCTCCAGTCTTTATTTCACTTTCACCATGTCGGCATAATGTGTAACTTTGTGCTAGTGTGTAACACTACACGATTATTTGCGTGAATATGTGATAATTTGTGCAAGTACGTGCTCATATCCACAGCTTACACATGTGACTACGTGCTTATTGTGTGCAAATCTGTGTGGTTCTGTGTATGATAATGCATGCATCATAATCTGCCAGTGTGCTTTACTGCATCTGCATATGTGCGTGCGTGCCCCTGCATTTGTATGTGTTTGTGTATGTGTGTGTGCACGCGCTCTCGCATGCGTGCATGTGTGTATGGTGACACGGCAGTTTCGAGCAGTTTTGCATCAATCTCGCAAACGAAAAGCTTCAGCAGCACTTCAACCAGGTACCCTGCTCATCTCCGCTGCTATGCTGCATGCACCGCACTGCGCAGACTACTCCACCAGGGCTGTCAGGCTGGCCTTACACCAGACTGCTTGAGTGCCAGCACTTCTCTTCACAAGAACCAAGCGTTGGCTGCATGGCTGGGCCACCTCATCTCATCTCATGTCACTGATACTGATCCACATGCCATCGAGAACTAGTGTTTACACGTGCCACCAGTCAGCATGTTCCATACGCCAAGCATTGTACTCAACTTATGGGGCGCCTCGTAAGCCATTGCGGACCGGTGTCGTCTATGTGCATTCACTCGCCTCTCCCTATGCCGTATGCCCATTACTGCACCTGTTTTTCCGTCCCACTGCCTCTTCCGCGTTCCTTATGCCCTGTCTGCTCCGTGCCACCCGCTCTCCCCTCACCCACCACGCACCAGCACGTGTTCAAGGCAGAGCAGGAGGAGTACGAGCGGGAGGAGATTGACTGGAGCTACATCGAGTTTGTGGACAACCAGGACGTGCTGGAGCTCATTGAAAAGGTGCGGATGGTGTCAGTTATTGTGACATCAGAGCAGCATCAGAGCAGCGTCAGAGCAGCGTCAGAGCAGCGTCAGAGCAGCATCCGAGCAGCGTCAGAGCATGAGAGCCTCAAAGAGTGGTGAGCGACGTGCATGGCCTGGTCGGTCAAATGTGAGCTACATGGAGTTTGTGGGCAACCAGGACGTGCTGGCCTGGGGCCCATTGAGTAGGTGTGGCATCAGAGCACAAGAAGGTCACAACCAGGAAGAGGTTGCTGTCTGCGGTATCAGAGCCTGAGAGCGTAGGAGGGGCTGTGAGCAATCTTCATGGGCTGGTCAGTTTTCTGGAGCTAATCATGTTTGTAGACTACTAGGCCGTGTTTGGAAGCTTCTTGAGATAGTGTGCTGCGCACTGCTGCTGCCACTGCTGCTGCCACTGCTGCTGCTGCCGCCGCCACCAATGCGACCACTGCTGCGCTTCTTTTCTTGCCTCGCTGCGCGACCGCTGGTCGTTGGTCTTGTGTTGGCTGGTCACACATGGTCACAGTCATATCCAGAGAGTTGTTTGGAAAACTAGCTGACTGCCAATTCCTTCCAGAACAACTTCTTGCAAGCAATCACAGGTGAATGCCAATGTAATGGTGTTCTCTCAGACTCATGTGGAGAGCCCTAAGGAAAAGGGGAGATTGATCCCTTGTGAACCTTAACACCCTTGTGAACCTTAACACCCTTGTGCCTTGAGCCCTCCTTTCTTCCTCCTTGCGCGCAGGTGCTAGCGTAGTATCTCTTCCCCTCCCCCTTGCCCGCACTCCACAGTTGTAAACTTATCGCACCCTTTGTGCCACTATCCTGCATCGTGTCAGCACAGCGCTGTGCCTTCCTTCTATGCACCAGCCACACGCCTGTGCTTGCTTCTCTCTTCCCGCCTGGCGTCTTCCTGCCTTTGCCTCTGTGTGTGTGTGTGTGTGTGTGTGTGCGTGTGTGTGTGTGTGTGTGTGTGTGAGTGTGTGTGTGTGTGTGTGTGTGTGTGTGTTGTGTGTGTGTGTGTGTGTGTGTGTGTGTGGGGGGGGGGGTGGGTGTGTGTGGGTGCGTGCGTGTGTGTGTGCACGGGTGCGTGCGTGTGTGTGTGCGTGCGTGCGTGTGTGTGTGCGTGCGTGCGTGTGTGTGTGTGTGCGTGTGTGTGTGCGTGTATGCATGTGTCCGTGTGTGCATGTGTGCGTATGGTATGTGTATGTGAATGTGTGCAGAAACCAATGGGCATCATTTCTCTGCTGGACGAGCAATGGTCAGTGCCCCAACCCCTCCTCCACCCATCCTCACATCTTCCCCTGCCCCCTCTTCCCTCACTACCTTCCCAACTCCCCTCTCCCTGCACCCTCTCCCCTCCCTTCCCTGCCACTCTCCTCCCCCCTGCCTGGTCTGGACATGCTCTCTCAACTCAATTCTTACGGGGTCCTTTTTTTCTTTCATTCAAAACACCTGCATAACACAGTTTGGCCACTCAACCCCTTCTCACACTCAACCCCTTCGCACACTCAACCCCGTCGCACACTCAACCCCTTCGCACACTCCTCTTGCTCCCTCCTCTCACCCCATCTCCCCTCGTACTTCCCCCCTACCCCCTGCACTTCCCATCAACAGCATGTTCCCCAAGTCGAACGCGGAGACGTTTGCCACGAAGCTGTACCAGACGTGCGCCTCCCACCCGCGGTTTGAGAAACCCAAGCTGTCGCAGACCGACTTCACCATCAACCACTACGCCGGGCAGGTGCGGTGGGGGCGATGAGGCAGGTGGGCAAGAGGAGCTGGGCAGGCAAGATGTCTGACTCCCATGCTGCTAGAGTGATTGAGGTGACGGTGGGTAACCCCCTCCTGGGCTTTGAGAAGCCCAAGCTGTCTGTCGCAGACCAACTTCACCATCAACCAGTACGCTGGGCAGGTGCCGCCTGCACTCTCACACGCCCACGCCCAGGGGGGCATGGGGAATTTGGGTGGGGGTGGGGATGGGGATGGGGATGAGGGAAGCAGAGAGGGGAGAGAGAGGGATGGATCAGGGGTGCCTTGTTTCATGCATGGTGGAGCGTTGTGCGTTGGTCGGTAACACCGCCACCCACGGCCTTCACACTATGTTGTTGGCTGTCGTCTGAGCAATGCCACTGCTGCCACAGCGCCTGAACTGCTCTGCGTATGAGCTGCTGTGCCTGCTCCCCACCCCCCACTCCCGCTCCCCCGCTCCCAGCTCCCCGCTGTCCGCTGTCCGCTGTCCGCTGTCCGCTGTCCGCTGTCCGCTGTCCGCTGCCTGCTGTCCGCTGCCTGCTGTCCGCTGCCTGCTGCCTGCTGCCTGCTGCCTGCTGCCTGCTGCCTGCTGCCTGCTGCCTGCTGCCTGCTGCCTGCTGCCTGCTGCCTGCTGCCTGCTGCCGCCATGGCTTTGTTCCCTCTCCCATGCCTCCCATGCCAAGCCAAATCGCAGCGACACCCATTCCATCACCATGGCTCACTGTGCAGATGATGCGTCTTGCTCCTTTTGCATCCTTGTCTCTCCGTCCTCCCCCCTCGCCCGGTTGCTTACTGGTTGTAATCATTGTTCAACGAGAACAGCAAGGCCAGGTGACGAAGCACCAGGGCGTGCCATCCATGCTTCTCCTTCTTTTCCTCTCTGCTCTCTCTGCTTCTCCCAACCCGCTCCTGCTAGGTGACATACCAAGCGGATCTGTTTCTGGACAAGAACAAGGACTACGTGGTGGGTGGCAGAGCACGAGGTGTGCCATCCATGCTTCTCCTTCTTTTCCTCTCTGCTCTCTCTGCTTCTCCCAACCCGCTCCTGCTAGGTGACATACCAAGCGGATCTGTTTCTGGACAAGAACAAGGACTACGTGGTGGGTGGCAGAGCACGAGGTGTGCCATCCATGCTTCTCCTTCTTTTCCTCTCTGCTCTCTCTGCTTCTCCCAACCCGCTCCTGCTAGGTGACATACCAAGCGGATCTGTTTCTGGACAAGAACAAGGACTACGTGGTGGGTGGCAGAGCACGAGGTGTGCCATCCATGCTTCTCCTTCTTTTCCTCTCTGCTCTCTCTGCTTCTCCCAACCCGCTTCTGCTAGGTGACATACCAAGCGTATCTGTTTCTGGACAAGAACAAGGACTACGTGGTGGGTGGCAGAGCACGAGGTGTGCCATCCATGCTTCTCCTTCTTTTCCTTTCTGCTCTCTCTGCTTCTCCCAACCCGCTTCTGCTAGGTGACATACCAAGCGGATCTGTTTCTGGACAAGAACAAGGACTACGTGGTGGGTGGCAGAGCACGAGGTGTGCCATCCATGCTTCTCCTTCTTTTCCTCTCTGCTCTCTCTGCTTCTCCCAACCCGCTCCTGCTAGGTGACATACCAAGCGGATCTGTTTCTGGACAAGAACAAGGACTACGTGGTGGGTGGCAGAGCACGAGGTGTGCCATCCATGCTTCTCCTTCTTTTCCTCTCTGCTCTCTCTGCTTCTCCCAACCCGCTCCTGCTAGGTGACATACCAAGCGGATCTGTTTCTGGACAAGAACAAGGACTACGTGGTGGGTGGCAGAGCACGAGGTGTGCCATCCATGCTTCTCCTTCTTTTCCTCTCTGCTCTCTCTGCTTCTCCCAACCCGCTCCTGCTAGGTGACATACCAAGCGGATCTGTTTCTGGACAAGAACAAGGACTACGTGGTGGGTGGCAGAGCACGAGGTGTGCCATCCATGCTTCTCCTTCTTTTCCTCTCTGCTCTCTCTGCTTCTCCCAACCCGCTCCTGCTAGGTGACATACCAAGCGGATCTGTTTCTGGACAAGAACAAGGACTACGTGGTGGGTGGCAGAGCACGAGGTGTGCCATCCATGCTTGCCCTTCCTTTCCTCTCCGCTACTCTGAAACCACCCCTACCAGGTAACGTACCAGGCGGACCTGTTCCTCGACAAGAACAAGGACTACGTGGTGGCGGAGCACCAGGACCTGCTCGGCAACTCCAAGGACCCCTTTGTCGTCTCGCTCTTCCCGCCCAGCGCCGGCGGCGAGAAGGCCAAGACCAAGTTCACGTCCCTCGGCTCCAGCTTCAAGGTGCGCACCGCACTGCACTGCACTGCAAAGCACTGCCCCGCACTGCCCCGCACAGCGCCACATGATCGCACCGCCCGTCTCTTCCCGCCGCTACGCGTCCCATGCATTCGCCACTATCCAGTGGGTTCGACCTGCCTATCATGCATCTGGATGCTTCTACCATACCTCCTTGTTTGAATTTTTAAGTTAACTCGAAATTCAAATGCTTCTACCGCTCTTCCTTTACAATAACCATTCTACCTTCTCCCCATCCTCTGTCCCTGCTCTCTCTTCTTACTACTGTGTGCGATGCGGTTGCGGTGTGGTGTGTGTGGTGCGGCACGGTGCGGTGTGGCGCGGTGGCAGCAACAACTGGCGGAGCTGATGGCATCACTAGGCACGACAGAGCCACACTACGTGCGGTGTGTGAAGCCCAACAGCAAGAACCGCCCGGGCGAGTTTGAGAACCAGAACGTCATCCAGCAGCTACGATGCGGGGTGAGTGCGGCGCACATGGGTGGGGTGAGGCGCACACAGGTGGAACGAGGCCGCACATTGGTGGGAGTTAAGAGGGAATTGAGAAAGAGGGTGGGAAGGGAAAAGAGGGAAGTGGGAATATGAGAAGAGGAATTGGTCGCAGGTTGCCTTTCCAGACACTACGTCAGCAGAGAGGGTTCATCAGGTCACGGACATGGAAGGCTAGCATGGCATCCAGGCATGGTGGAGACATGACCATTGCGCATAACAACTTGGTGGCATATACAGCCTGCTATGAACCTTGCTGTTGCTGTACCTCTCCCAGTCAACCTTTCCGTCTCTCCTTTCGGCATGCACCATGCACCATGCATTTCGCTCCATCCCCCGCGCCTCACCACCCAGGTGCCATGCACCGCGCCTCCTGCCTAAGCCTCTGTTGTGTGCCTGCGTGGCCTGCTAAATGCCAGAGAGATCAGCTGTGTGGACTACTAATCAAGTTCCTTGGCAAGCAGACCCATTCCTGAACGCCCTCACTTCCCTCTCGCGCTTCCTCTCACCACGCCGCCCCACTCTCTCTCTTCCCTCCCTCCCTCCAACCCCGTGCTCTGCAGGGTGTGTTGGAGGCCATTCGCATCAGCTGTGCGGGCTACCCCACGCGCCGCTCCTTTGACGAATTCCTCTCGCGCTTCTCCATGCTCGCTCCAGAGATTCTCCTCGACCCCAGGTCTGCTCCTTGAGAGCTCGTAAAAAGCGCATTTAACCAAAAAAAACGCATTAGAAAATTCCCTAAAAGCACATCCGTGCTCGCCCCAAAGAGTCTCCTCGATCCCAGGTCCCTTTCTCTGCCCCCCCACCCACCCACTCCGCCGCCATCGCATCGCACCCTAGGCCCTCTCTCTTTCTCAAATGGCTCTTCTTTTTATTAAGAGCCAGGTAATATAACGCAATGGAGAGGCAAGTACATGCAAGGCAAGCAAGGTCCTGCTCTTAGTTGGTGGGTCCTGGGTCCTGTCCGAGTAGGCTCAGCTCAGGAGCTTCTTCCAACGCCTCCGCCACGCAGTAGACGACTGCAGATTATGAGGCGCCTCAGAAATCTGCGGGTCGGCACTCCGGCGTGTTGATGAGACGGTGGTGAGGTTGTTGGAGAGCCAAGCCTTTGAGTCGACTCAAAGCTCCTGGTTGTGGTAAAACTTGATGTAAATTGTCGGCAGCTTGGCCATCCTGCCGCTTTTGAGAGGTTTCTCTCATAGTTGCAAACCCTAAACCTTCCATTGATGTATGCTTGCTTCGGGTAGTTGGTTGGCGCTGCTTGGGACCGTTCGCCCCGTCAAGGCGGCTGAATGCTGCCACAGTGTGCTGCTTGGCTGAAAAGGCAGACAGAAGTGAACCTCAAATTAATCAGAGCAGTGAGCCTCTGGAGAAGGCTATGCGACGTCAGGTACTAGGGTAGAGAGGCAGGCAGCCTGAGGGCCCTCCTCGGTTTCTCTCTCTCCTTCTCCCTTCTTCTGGTCCCCCTCCTCTTTCTCCGTGTTCCTTTATCTCTCCTCCTTCCTCTCTCTTCATGTCTGTGCGATCTCTCCTTTTTCCAGAGCCTCCTTGCTGGTCTCACTGAACTCCATCACCCCCCTTCACTCCTCCCCGTTCCTCCTTTGTATGACCGTGTGGGGGCATGCGACTTGGTGCATGTGTGTTTGTGTCACATGGATGTGCATGGCGGTGCATGGGTGTGCATCTGTGTATGAGTGTGGGTGTGCATGTGTGTGTATGAGTGTGTGTGTGAGTGTGTGTGTGTGTGTGTGTGTGAGTGTGTGTGTGTGTGTGTGTGTGTGTATGTGTGTGTGTGTGCGAGAGTGTGTGTATGAGTGTGTGTGTGTGTGTGTGTGTGTGAGTGCGTGCATGGGTTTGTGTGTGCGAGTGTGTGTGTGTGTGAGTGTGTGTGTGTGTGTGTGTGTGTGTGAATGTGTGTGGGTGTGTGCGAGAGTGTGTGTATGAGTGTGTGTGTGAGTGTGTGTGTGTGTGTGTGTGTGCATGTGTGTGTGTGCGAGTGTGTGTGTGTGTGAGTGTGTGTATGAGTGTATGTGTGCGTGTGTGTGTGTGTGTGTGTGCGTGCGTGTGTGTGTGTGTGTGTGTGTGTGTGTTCTTGTGTGTGTGCGAGCGTGTGTGTGCACGCACGCAGCTACGTGGACAACAAGTCAGCAGCCAAGGCCATGCTGGAGAAGCTCGGACTTACCAACTTCCAGGTGCGCCCAAAGCTCCTCCCTTCACCTGGAACCCCCGTTTCTTCCGCTCTTCATCCTCCACTCCCCTCCACACCATGCTCCCCATGGCAAGGCATCCCGTCCTTGGCCCATCCTCACGCCCACCCATGCCGAAATAGGCATGATAAAGGCCCAGCCCAGCCCAGGGTCGGTCCGACTCGCTCCTGCCCTTCCCTGGCATGCCTCCTTGCCAGCGCGGCTGCCCAGGTCAACCCGACCTTTGATGATACACGTCTGTCTTGGGGGGGCATTGGACTAAAAAAAAAAGTCTCAAAGTCTCAACCCTCTTTTTTTTTTTACCCTTGTCCGTGCGATGCTGGCTCGGAAATCCGCCCGGCCCAGCCGGGCTGGCCATGCAACCTGGGAGGATCAGCAGTCTCGGGCCGGACCACAAATTGGTCCAGTCGGTCCCCCCTGCCAGGCTGACCCCTGCCCGTGCCCTTTCTCTCGTGCCCTTTCTCTCGTGCCTCTGCCGAAAGCTCTCACCTTTTCCCGTTCCTCTACCTCGCCCTTGCAATGTGGTTTCCGCACCATCATTTCCCCCGCCCTTTCTTCCTGTCCCCACTCCTCCCCATGCAAATGTCTCTCTTGCGCTCCCTTTGCCTCTCTCTCGCGGCACGGCAGGTGGGGAAGACGAAGGTGTTTCTGAGGGCGGGGCAGATGGCGATGCTAGACGCCATGCGCACGCAGCACCTCAACGCCGCAGTGCGTGTGATCCAGCGCTACACGCGCTGCTGGCTGCAGCGCCGCCGCTTCCTCGCTCTCAGGAAGGCAGCTGTCAAGGCACAGGCGCTGTGGCGAGGTGCGTGCATGTGCAGCGTGCATGGGGGCATGGATGGGTGCATGCGATGGTGCATGTGCATGCATGGTTGTTGTGCATGTGTGGGTGCATGTGTATGTGTGGGGGTATGTCCCTGTTACATGTTTGTGAATTTCTGTGTGTCTCTATGCACCTGCTCCCCCACCACCTTTTCTTTTCCTCCCTCCATTCCCCCTCCACCCATCTTCAACTGACACTGCTCCCACCCAGCTCTTTCTCTCTCTTCCTCTCTCTCGCCCCCCCACCTCACTCTCCGCCTCTCCCTCTCCCGTGCCCCCTCTCGCACTCATCTCATCTCATCCCATCCCCTCCCCTGCACACAAACCAGGCAAGGCAGCAAGGAAAGAGTACGAGCGGAGGCGCAGGGAGGCAGCAGCGGTGCGCATTCAGAAGCACTACCGCGCGCACTTGGCACTCTGCCAGTACGCACGCGTGCAGCGCGCCGTGCTGGTGCTGCAGGCGGGGGCTAGGGGCATGTTTGCGCGCTCTGAGGCCAGGAGCAGACGGCGGAACCTTGCTGCCACGCGCATTCAGGTGCGTGTGGGGACACATGTCAGATGCGCTCCACATTGCGTGTTGCGTGCTGTGTGCTGTGTGCTGTGTCTTTGTCCTGTGCAGATGAGAGGGCGATGTGCATGGGATGTGCGGGTTGCTGAGAAGGTGTAGGGAAATGGGAGACACGAGGAGGCCAGGGAGGTGCCGTGGTTGTGTATGCAGGTGTGAGACAGACAGGAGTATCAGCAAGGTTGCTTGTCGCCATTATTTTCTTCTGCACGCGTGGCTGGCTGTTTGCCTCCCAGTAAAATAAAACCCACACATGTCTGTCTGTCTGTCCTCACCTGCCGCACACCTGCTGCCCCACTCCTCTCCTCCTGCTCCCATCCTGCTTCCCCCTCCTGCCGCTCCCCTTCTCCCACTCCCGTCCCCCCTGCGTCCCATCCCCCCAGACGCGGTATCGCGGGCACAGGGAGCGGCGGGCGTATGGGAAGCTGAGGGCAGCGGCGGTGGTGATGCAGTGCATGTGGCGGGGCAGAGCAGCCCGCCTGGAACTCAAGCGCCTCAAACACGTGCGTGCCGTGCACACAGGAGGGGTGTTGGTAGGGAGAAGGGAGAAGGTTGGGCGCGGGTGGAGGGGAAGAGGTTGGCTTGGCCAAGGGTTTGTTAAGTACAGACGAGGCGGCAAGGGGGATAGGTTGGGACTGGGGCGGAGGTGGCGTGGTCGTTGGCGGGGTTGATGGGGTGGGGAAGGAGACGATGGGAAGGCAGCCTTGCAGTGCGCTTTGCAGCCGTGCAGTGGTCCAGAGCACGAGAGCACCTCAGCACGAGAGCACCTCAGCACCACTGCTGTTATTTGTATTGATCTTTCACTCCTCTCTCTGTGTGTCCTTCGTCTGCTTCACCATGCCCCACCGTGCTCTCAAACCCTCCTGCACTGCTCTCACCCCTTGGCCACCTACAAATGGTGTAGTCCCCACCAGCAACTTCACAGCAAATCTCACCGCTCTTCCCCGCCCTCCCTCCCCCTCTCACCTCCTTACCCCTCTCTCCGCTCTCTTCCTCACCGTCTTCCTTACCCTCTCGCTCTCCCTCTCCCTCTACCTCCTTTTCCCTTCCCCCTCCCCCCATCCCTACCTCGCGCGGCCTCCCTCCTGTGCACGGCAGGAGGCGAAGCAAACGGGGGCGCTGCAGGCGGCGAAGACACGGCTGGAGAAGCAGTGCGAGGAGCTCACGTGGCGCCTGCAGCTCGAGAAGCGCATGCGGGTGAGCGGTGGTAGAGTAGGGGTGGGTGCTGGTGTCTACTGAGGGAAGAGTTGAGGCTTTCATTATATGGTAGGGCTGGAGAAGCAGTGCGAGGAGCTCACATGGTGCCTGCAGCTCGAGAAGCGCATGCGGGTCAGTGCTGCTGCCTGCTGCTGCTGGGGTGGGTGCTGCTGGGGTGGGTGGTGCTGGGTGCAGAGGAGAGTGGTGCTGCTGGGTGCAGTGGGTAGTGGTGCTTCAGGGTGTGGGTGGAGATGAACTGAGTGGTGCCGGATTGGTGCTGCTGTTGTCACATCATGTGTGTCATGACAAGTACCAGGGCTGCTCCATGCATTTCAGTGCACACATGCATGGGCACCTGCCACTCGCCCCACCATACATACTCCCATGTATCCCCGTCCACCCCCCTGCATCCTCCTGGATCCGCTCGCACCCCTTTACATCCCTCTGCGTCCCTTCACATGCACAAGCCTCCATTCCTCCCCCCCCTGCGTCCTCGCAGTCGGATTTGGAGGAGGCGAAATCAGCGGAGATAGCGCGGCTGCAGCAGGAGATGGAACAACTCAAAACAGACCTGCAGACCGCCACCACACAAGTAGACCAACTGCAGGCACAGCTGCGCGCAGGCGGAGGGGGAGGAGTGGGAGGTGGAGGAGGTGGAGGAGGAGGAGGGGGTGCAACCGTTGGTGGGGCGGTGGGGGCAGTGGCGGCGAGAATAGGCCGCAGTGCGTCGGGAACGCACACTGCACCGTCGTCAGCAACAGCATCACCGGTGCTCATGGCGTCACGCTCGGGGAAAGACATGGTGTCGCCGCCACAGCCAGGCAAGCACGGTGCTGGCGCCAGGGCAGTGGATCTGTTATTGCCTGCTGCTGCTGCTGCTGCTGCTGCGTCTGCTGGTCCCTCCTCCCCTGCCGCGCGCCCTGCTCTCTCGCACCCCTTGTCCCGCATCTCCAGCGCGCGTCTCTCTGGCAGCAGTCCCTCAGGCCGCATGGACCCAGGCTCTGCCACGACTGCTGCTGCCATGGGGAGTGCAGGGAGTGCGGCGGACGGGGCAGCAGGCGCGTGGGAGGGCGAGGGAGCAGTGGGCGAGGGAGAAGTGGTGTTGGAAGGGGGGATGAACGGGGTGGTGGTGGATGCGGCGGTGGTGGTGGCGGCGGCGCAGGCGAGTGCAGCAATGATGGAGAATGAGAAGCTGAAGGAGTCGCTAGAGGCGTCGGACTCACGCGCGGCGGCCATGGAGGAGGTGATCGCGCGCAGGGAGGAGCGCATTCGAGAGCTGGAGGATGACGTGTTAACGCTCAAGGGCGAGTGCGGCAGGTGTGTTGCGTTGTGACCGCTGACCATGTTCTAGGCACCTCAAAGGTCGTCTCAGTATACCGGAGGACGATGTGCTAACGCCCACGGGCGAGTGCGGCAGGTGCGTTGCGTTTTGACCATTGTTTGTCTCGATATATTGGAGGACGTTGTGCTCACACTCGAGGGTGAGTGCGGCAGGTGCAGTGACTTCTTAGCTCTGCGTGGCTGGTCGCTTTGTTTGTTCGAATGCGCTCATTGTGGGTTCTCGCCTCTTCCGTCTCCCTCGCATGCTCTGACTCTTTGGGTGAGGAGCATGTGATGTCATTGTTGTCGCTCAATCAGGCTCCTCAAAAGCCATCACCAGGCTCACCTTATATGCCTTCACCAACCGCCGCATGCTGGTTCTCCAAGCAACAAGTGACCCCATCCTTTGCTCCGTGCATGCTGCGCACTCTCGGCTAGTCTCTCGCCCTTGGTTACATGCATACCTGCATGAATCTGCTGCCCGTTGCACCCTTGTGAGCGATTTTTGAGAATTCTCAAAAATCACTCACAAGGGCTGCCCGTTGCACCACGCCCCTCATGTGTCCCTCACCACCCCATGCCTCGCATACAAATTCCCCCCTGGATTTAGGTTCACACAAAAGCCCCCCGTTACAAAACGAAAGAAAACCGAAGCCTTGCATGCATACCTTGGTCCATTCTCTCTCATCCTCTCACGCAACCCCCCACCCTAAACCCCCTCTCCGAGCGTGCAGGCTGCAGGAGCACCTACAAGGCATGGAGCGGGAGTTCCAAGTGCTGTGCCGCCAGTCCCTCTCTCTCTCACACATGCCTTACATGGGTTCGATTGTAAACTCTCTCTCGCAACCTCATACACCCCACGCCACCACCCCCGACCCCCCCAAACCCCCTCACCCTCCTTGCCACCCACAGGCTGCAGGAGCACCTACAGGGCATGGAGCGCGAGTTCCAAGTGCTGCGCCGCCAGTCCCTCTCCATGGCCACAGCAACTGCCAACGCCACCGGGCCTGGTGCACTCCACCACGTGCCGCAGCGCGCCCCCTCCGGGCGGCTCTCCTCGGCTCTGTTCGGCATGGCGCCACACGGTGGCGCTGCTGCTGCTGCTGCTGCTGCTGCTGCTGCTGCTGTGGCGCCGTCTCCCCCGCCCGTGGGGCTGCCTGCTGCTCGCGAGGCGGCCAACAAGGTGGCGGCGTCGCAGGAGGCGGAGATGAAACGGCACCACGTGCTGGCGGAGAGGCAGCAGGTGAGGTGGGGGGGAAGGGGGAGGGTGGGGAGAGGGCAGAGGGCAGGGGTGAGGCGGCCAACAAGGTCGCGGTTTCCCAGGAGGCGGAGATGAAACGGCACCACGTGCTGGCGGAGAGGCAGCAGGTGAGGGGAGGGAGAGAGGGAGAGAGGGGAGAGGGGAGAGGGGAGAGGGAGGGAGCGGCGAGACTGGAGAGGCGATAAGGAGGGCAGAGAGGGGAGGGGGGAAGAAGAGGGTGGGGAAGAGGGTGATGGCAAGGGGAAGATCTTGGCAGGGGTTTCTCTAGGCGCTGCTTTTGAGTCAACTCAAAAGCAGTTCTGGGAAGGGGTTTCTGTCCCGGCTGGTGTGTGGGATCGAGTGTGATGGGCTGTTTCCAGTGCAGGTGTGCTGCTCCTGCTCCTTCCTGGACCTCCATGCAACCTCCCGACCTACTCTCAGGGTTCGCGTGCCTCGTGTGCCGCTTTCCTCTTTGAGACCCTCGTGTGCTGCTTTCCACTTGTTTTCCCCCAGAATTCTCAAAGCTCTCCACGGACATGCAACAAACACACAGGTGCACAGCACACAGGACGCCGCTCCCTGACACGCGGCCCCGTGGCTGCACCTCTCTTACTCTTCCCCCTCTCCACCCTCCTCACGCAGTGCTGCAATTCGTGGTGTCAGACCTGGGCTTTGACAACATCCGCCCCATGGCAGCCTGTGTTCTCTACCTTTGAGACGTCTCAAAAGCCCTCTTACTCTTCCCCCTCCCGCTCCCCTGCCCCCCACCACCTCGCATGCCAGGCGGATCAAGACGCAGTCCTACAGTTCGTGGTATCAGACCTGGGTTTCGACAACAACCGTCCCGTGGCAGCGTGCATTCTCTACCGCGCGTTGCTGCACTGGCGCTCCTTCGACGCCGAGCAGACCAATGTGTTTGACCGCATCATCCAGACCATGAGCGCGGCCGTGGACACCCACGACAGTAGTAGCGCCGGCGCCACGAGCAGTAGCAGCAGCAGTGCGGACCGCCTGGCGTTCTGGCTGTCGAACGCGTCGGCGCTGCTGCACCTGCTGCACCGCTCGTTCCGCCCGGGCGGGGCGTCGCAGAGCCAGATGCAGGCGCAGCGGCGGCGTCAGCAGCAGGCTGCCACGTCGCTGTTCGGCAGGATGACCCAGGTGCGCCCTGCTCTCTGCCCCGCTCTCTGCCCCGCTCTGCGCCCCGCTCACTGCCCCGTTAGCTGCCCCGTTGCCCGTGCATTGCCCCGCTTGGGCCCCTTCCACCACGCTCGCCACTTGTGCCTGTGGTGGTGGGACTTGTGCTGCTGCCCTGAATATTACTTTTGAGAATTCTCAAAAGTAATATTCTCAAAAGAGAATTCTCAAAAGTAATACTCTCAAAAGAGAATTCTCAGAAGTAATATTCTCAAAAGAGAATTCTCAAAAGTAATATTCTCAAAAGAGAATTCTCAAAAGTAATATTCGCGTAGCTTCCCTGCCCGTGTGCATCCCCGTGCTCGCTCCAGCATCAGCACTTACCTTCGCCTGCCCTCTTGCCCCTTCTCCCCGCCTACCCCTCCCCGCAACAGTCGTTCCGAGGGCCAGTGGCGGTAGCGCAGGACGAGGCGAGTGCGGTGCAGGCGGACGGGCTGCACCTGGTGGACCCCAAGTTCCCCGCGCTGCTCTTCAAGCAGCAGCTCACGGCGTTCGTGGAGAAGGTCTACTCCACCATCCGCGACAACCTCAAGAAGGATATCTCTCAGATGCTCGTTGCATGCATCCAGGTGCGTGTGGGGTTGCTGTGGGGTCGCTGTGGGGTCCCTGTGGACTCTGTGTGCTGCTCTTCAAGCAGCAGCTTGTGGTGTTCTGTGGTGAAGTGAAGGTCTGCTCCACCATCCGTGACAACCTCAAGAACGACATCTCTCGTCGCCTGCTTCCAGGTCTGTGGGAGGTCCGTGTCGAGTCCGTTGGGGAACGCCATTGTCACGCCATGCCTGTAGAGTCACTTTCCCTGCCCCTTCTGTCAGAAATAGGCTTAGAAGTGATACATTAGTAATGAGCTTGAAGCTCTTTAAGTACATCCAAGAGGGGTAGGAAAAGGATGGGGAAGGGAATCGGGGGCAATCTCTAGGGATTGGGGGTAATCCCAAGGCAATCTCCAATTGGTGGGTTGGAGATTGGTTGGAGATTACATTTGGGTTTGGTTGGGATGTAGGTGTACACCCAACCAAACACAATGTGCAAACTACACTACTCTAGGATATAGAAAATACAAAGTACAAATTGTGAGATTGAAGACTAACACTAACACCCCCCCATAGGCGTCAATCGAACTCAGGGTAGAGAGGGTGGAGCACAGAGCCCCATGGCGCCAAGGAGACGGTGGTGGGGAACTTTCCCAAGGGGCTTGGTGAACAGATCAGCCAGGTTGCAGTCAGATGCAACGTATTCCACTTTCAACTGCTCTTGTTGGACAAGGTCACGGATGAAGAAGTGCCGGAGTTCAATGTGCTTGGTGCGGGTGTGATACACAGGGTCTTGAGAGATGTGGATGGTACTCTGGTTGTCACACCAGAGGGTGGGGGCGGACTGTGGGAAACCAAGCTCCTGGAGGAGGAAGGTGAGCCAACGAGCCTCCTGAGCAGCCATGGTGCCTGCGTAGAGCTCTGCCTCACATGAGGAGAGGGAGACTGCAGACGACCTGGTGGAGCGCCAACTGACAATTCCGCTCCCAAGGGTGAAGCAGTACCCCTGAGAGGAGCGTCGGTCGGTCTGGTCATCAGCCCAGGAGGAGTCGGTGTAACCTTCCAGGCGAGGAGGGGAGAGCCCACCGAGTGTGAGGACGTGAGACTTAATGCCCTAAAGATAGCGCAGCACCCGCTTGGCTGCCTTCCAGTGAAGATCAGTGAAGCGTCCAGGGGCCACGTAGCGAGAGAGGACACTGACAGGATAGGCCAGGTCCGGTCGGGTGCACATCATGGCGTACATGAGGGACCCAACAAGCTCCGGGTATGGCTCAGAGCAGGCCTCTGGTGTGGGTACCGCTGGAGCTGTGAGGAGGTGTTGCAGCGGCAGCGGGGTGGCAACAGGTGTGCATAGCTCCATCTCAAATCGCTTGAGCACATTGTCGATGTAGAACTCCTGGGAGAGTGAAATGGTGCGAGCCTTGCGATCACGAGTGATCTCCATCCCCAGGTAGTGCTTGAGGTCACCGAGGTCTTTCATCTGGAGAGCCTTGCTTAGGGCTGCCTGGACTGAGGTCATCTGGGCCGAGTCCTTGGCCACGAGGATGAAATCATCCACGTAGACTAGGATGTAGAAGGGCTCAGAATGACGGCGGATGAAGAGAGTCGGGTCAGCAGTTGAAGGGTGGAAGTCCAGGGAGAGGAGGACTTCTTTCACCTTGTTGTGCCATTCGCGAGGGGCTTGCTTAAGGCCGTAGACGGGGCGATTCAGCTTCCAGACAGTGTTGGGAGGGAATTCTCCTGGGAAGCCTTCTGGTCTGTCCATGAACACTGTCTCCTTGAGACGTCCTTGTAGGAAGGCGGATGAGGCATCCATGGATTTGATCTCAAAGTCTTCTCGAGCTGCGACATCCATGAGCGTACGAATGGTGGGAGGTTTGGATGTGGGGGAGAAGGTTAGGAAGAAGTCGCGGTACTGCTGCTGGGTGAAGCCCTTGGCTACGTAGCGCGCTTTGAACACCGGTGCCTCGTCTGGGAGCTGTTTTACACGGAACAACCACTTGCCCCCGACGATGTTGACTCCTGGAGGTGGAGTCTCGTCGTCGAAGGAGTGGTTGCGGGTGAATGCTGCAATCTCCGCGTCCATGGCAGCACGCCATTCGGCAGCATGAGGGCCTGAGAGAGCCTCTTGGACGGTGAGAGGGATAGGGATGGTCGGGTTCTCCGCGAAGTTGAGGGAGGGTGAGCCAGTGATGTCGGGGAAGATGTGTGAGAGCTGAGGAAGGACTGCATGGAGATCACACAGTTCCTCATGCCTGTCTTCTAGAAGGGTAGAGGGCACATCCCCCCCAGCAGGAGGAGGCGGTGTGATCGCGGTGTATCGAAGAACCATCGCGAGTGGAAGAGTAGCGCGATGTGAGCGAGTGCCATGAGCCACCGGGGAAGAGGGTGGGGCTGGCGGGGTCGGAGAGGGTGACTTAGCAGGCTTGGGCGGGGGAATGGGCCGCCGGCGGTACGTGATCAGCTCGGGCGACTGTGGGAGAGCGGGTTCCTCTGTGGTGGGGGGAGCCGGGGGAGGAGGTGGGGCCGGAGGGTGGGACCGCCGATGGTAGGTGATAGGTGCGCTCGGAGGGGGCGGCGTAGCGGGGAGTGGGGAAGGTGAGGGGGGGGGAGGAGCAGCTGCCGAAGACACCGGTGAGGCCGGGTCAGTGACCTCAGAGGGAGATGGTGCGATGGCAGGAGAGGGAGGAGGTGAGGGAGCAGGAGCAGGCGGGAGGTCGGGAGGCGCATCAAAGTCTGCCCACACGAGGGAGGGTGGATCAGGGAGAGGGTCCCGTCCCGAAGGGGAGTAGAATGGGCGGGTCTCATCAAAGACAACGTCGCGACTCCTGACCAACTGTTGAGTGGAGGGATTGAGGAAGAGGTAGTCAGGTGAGTCGGCGTTGTGCCCGAGGTAGATGCACGTCTGAGTCTTGGGACCGAGCTTGCCACCGTTATGCCGTCGAGCCTGAGGGTTGAGGAGGACATAGGCGGTGCATCCCCAAACGCGAAGAGAGCGAGCAGTGGGCGTTTTCCCGAGCCAGAGTGTGGTTGGAGTGGTGTCGGGAAGGTGCGGGTGGGGGTAAAGGTTGTAGAGGAGGGCGGCGTGGTAGAGAGCGTACCCCCAAAGAGAGTGAGGAGCGTTGGAGTGGCTGAGGAGGCACCGAGTGATCTGCACCAGGGTGTGGTTGCGGCTCTCAGCTATGCCGTTCTGTTGAGGGCTGTCAGGGAGGGTGAAGTTTTGCTGGATGCCTTCGGAGGAGCAGAAGGCTTTGAGCTTGTCGTTGCAGAACTCACCCCCCCCATCCGAGTGAAGGCGCTTGACCTTGCGGTCAAAAGTGGTCTGTGCCTGCTTGACCCACGCTATGATGACCTCTGGCGCCTCAGCCTTAGTGTGGAGGAGGTGAACAGAGACGTAGCGGGAGTGGTCATCCACGATAACAAGGAAGTAGCGATAGCCACCTCGTGCGAGAACAGGGGCAGGGCCCCAGACGTCCATGTGCACGAGGTCCAGTGGTGCTGCAGCGACTGTGGGTGAGGCAGGATGGGGCTGTTGGCGCAGTTTGCTCTTGGTGCAATCAAGGCACGTGGGAGCTGGTGAGTCAGGTGGTGGAGGAAGTGCGGCTGGCAGGCCGAGGAGAAGTTTCTTGGAGGCCATGTCAGCAAGAGTGCGGAAATTTGGGTGCCCGAGCCGATGGTGGTAGAGGATGGTCGGGTTGGAGAGGGTGCGACATGAGCATGAGGATAGTGGCCTGTGCTTGGGTGGTTGACACCTGTGGGAGAGGGACGCGTAGCGTGTAGAGGCCGTTGCTGTTGAGGGTGTAGCGGGCCAGAGTTTTGTTGGTGCGTGGATCGATGATGTCGCAATAGTCCTCGTTCTCTGGGAAGATGGTGCGTAGCCCCGCCTCCTGAATTTCTGTTTGGGCAACTAGATTGTGACGCAGTGAAGGCACGCACATGCCAGTGACAGTGCCGGATGGGAAGGCGGGGCATGGGACTGTGGAGGTACCCTTGGCGAGGGTGGTGAAGCTTGAGTCAGCTCCTAAGAGAGGGATAGGTGTTGGGTAAGGTTTGAAGGAGAAGGTCTCCTTGAGCACGGTGTGATTGGCCCCGCTATCGAGTGTGAACTCTATGTATTGTGGTGCTTGTGATGAGCCGATGTACTGTAAGGTAGCTTCATTAATCATGGCAGTGCCAGGGAACAACAGGTTGATACGCACATCAGCAGGAGCAGCATCACTAGTACTAGCAGAAGCGGGGTCCTGGACCTCAACTAGGTTGGCCTTGCGAGAGCGCATCCAATTCGGCGGCTTCTTGTCCACTCCGTGAATGGCGTACCATTCGTCGTCTTTCTTCTTGAAGCACGTGGCGAGGGGGTGGTTAGTGCCACCACACACTTGTCCCTTGCGATTCCCATACTTGACGACGTAGGGGCACGGAGGAAAGCGGTTGCGCTGGAAGGGCGCCGAGGCGAGAGCCGCTGCGACACTTGCTTGAGGCATGGGAGCGCGGATAGCGTACGCCTTGGCCTGAGCCGTGGAGTCTTTCTCGGCAGAGAGGAGTGCGGTGGAGACCTTAGCAAAGGTGAGGTCTTCTGCTGAGAGTGTGAGGAGCATCTTCCTCGTGACCTCATATGCCGAGGTGAGTCCAACAAGTAGGGCGGCTGCAGGGGCTTGCTCGGGGAAGACTATACCCAGCTCCTTGAGTTCGCCATGAATGGTCTGCACCTTGGCAATGTAGTCGGCCATTCCCGAGCAGTCCTCAAGGCGGACCTGAAACATGCTAGGGATGAGAATGGCCACGCCGACCGCCGTCTTGTTCATGAACCGATCCTGGAGGTACTTCCAGATGGCGTTGGAGGTAGGGTAGTTATGGAACGTGTTGACAAGTTCGGGAGGGGTGGAGGCGATGAAGACGCTGATGATGGCAGCATCGGCCTTCTCCCATTTCCGGTACTTCTCAACAGCCTCCTCATTTGTATGCCCTCACGTCAGTATCACTTGAAGATTCGGTCGGCTCACGGGGATTAGTAGGCTGTTTCCCCTTGCCACGGTTGAGGAGGACGTCCTTGAGGTCAAGGCCCTGCACGTCACGGCTCAGGAGGTGCTTGTCAACTCCGTAGCTCCACGCCTTGAAGTTGGAGCTAGAGCCATCAGCTTCAAGGCGGAGCGGGGTGATGGGGTTCGCCATGGTGGAAGACGAGAGAGCCATGGTGGAGACCCCTTCTCGCGCGGAGCGCCGCTCTTAAGTCACCGATAGGATCTTCAAGGCGCGCGGCGATTTTGAAATCCGACGGACCGGAATAGCGAAAATCGTCAATGTCGGCCGCGTCGGAATGTCACGTAGACGGATTTTTCAGGCCACCAAAATTAGGTCGAATCGGCCGATTTCCGTAGATCTATCACTAATCCCACACACCCCCCCACACACCACCCTCAGCTTCGCGGCTGCGCTGCTGCTCGGCTTCGCGGCTACACGGCTGCTCTGCTTCGCGGCTACACGGCTGCTCGGCTGCGCTGCTGCACCTGTTCAGCTGCGGGAAGGGGGAAGGGGTAGGAGTGCAGATGCGGGGCGACGGGCGGCGGCCCGACGAGAAGCTGCAGGGCGACGGGCGGCGGCCCGACGAGGAGAAGAAGTGACGAATTGAGGTTGGAAAACGAGCGTTAGGTTATAGCGCGGACGATGCGCTTACCAGTGAAATTTCCGCCGAAAGTGACGGGAAGGTGCAGCGGAAGAATTTCCGCCGACGAATGTCGCGAATCACCGGCGACGAGGTTGACGATGGCTTCGCCGAGGTTTGCGGGACGAGTATCCGCAGAGGTACGAGGATCACGATCCGCGTACGCGGTTGAAGGGCTCTGATACCATGTCAGAAATAGGCTTAGAAGTGATACATTAGTAATGAGCTTGAAGCTCTTTAAGTACATCCAAGAGGGGTAGGAAAAGGATGGGGAAGGGAATCGGGGGCAATCTCTAGGGATTGGGGGTAATCCCAAGGCAATCTCCAATTGGTGGGTTGGAGATTGGTTGGAGATTACATTTGGGTTTGGTTGGGATGTAGGTGTACACCCAACCAAACACAATGTGCAAACTACACTACTCTAGGATATAGAAAATACAAAGTACAAATTGTGAGATTGAAGACTAACACTAACACCTTCCCCCTCACCTCCTCCTCCGACCCTCTCACCCAGGCGAGCCGGTCGTTCCGGTCAGGGGTGATGACGCGGCAGCAGCAGCGCGGGCAGGCAGCAGACGCGCGCACGGCCGCTCAGAACCAAGCGGCAGCACCGGGAGTGGCGCAGTGGAGCGGCATCATAGCGCGGCTGACGGAGCTGCTCAACACGCTCAAGGCCAACCACGTGCCCGCCTTCCTCGTGCGCAAGCTCTTCTCCCAGATCTTCGCCTACATCAACGTCCAGCTCTTCAACAGGTGCGTGAAGGGGAAGGAGGGGGGGCGGGGTATGGGAGGGGGTAAGAGGCGCCTCATTCTTCCTTCCTCGTGCGCAAGCTCTTCTCCCAGATCTTCGCCTACATCAACGTCCAGCTCTTCAACAGGTGCGTGAAGGGGAAGGAGGGGGGGCGGGGTATGGGAGGGGGTAAGAGGCGCCTCATTCTTCCTTCCTCGTGCGCAAGCTCTTCTCCCAGATCTTCGCCTACATCAACGTCCAGCTCTTCAACAGGTGCGTGAAGGGGAAGGAGGGGGGGCGGGGTATGGGAGGGGGTAAGAGGCGCCTCATTCTTCCTTCCTCGTGCGCAAGCTCTTCTCCCAGATCTTCGCCTACATCAACGTCCAGCTCTTCAACAGGTGCGTGAAGGGGAAGGAGGGGGGGCGGGGTATGGGAGGGGGTAAGAGGCGCCTCATTCTTCCTTCCTCGTGCGCAAGCTCTTCTCCCAGATCTTCGCCTACATCAACGTCCAGCTCTTCAACAGGTGCGTGAAGGGGAAGGAGGGTGGGCGGGGTATGGGAGGGGGTAAGAGGCGCCTCATTCTTCCTTCCTCGTGCGCAAGCTCTTCTCCCAGATCTTCGCCTACATCAACGTCCAGCTCTTCAACAGGTGCGTGAAGGGGAAGGAGGGTGGGCGGGGTATGGGAGGGGGTAAGAGGCGCCTCATTCTTCCTTCCTCGTGCGCAAGCTCTTCTCCCAGATCTTCGCCTACATCAACGTCCAGCTCTTCAACAGGTGCGTGAAGGGGAAGGAGGGGGGGCGGGGTATGGGAGGGGGTAAGAGGCGCCTCATTCTTCCTTCCTCGTGCGCAAGCTCTTCTCCCAGATCTTCGCCTACATCAACGTCCAGCTCTTCAACAGGTGCGTGAAGGGGAAGGAGGGGGGGCGGGGTATGGGAGGGGGTAAGAGGCGCCTCATTCTTCCTTCCTCGTGCGCAAGCTCTTCTCCCAGATCTTCGCCTACATCAACGTCCAGCTCTTCAACAGGTGCGTGAAGGGGAAGGAGGGGGGGCGGGGTATGGGAGGGGGTAAGAGGCGCCTCATTCTTCCTTCCTCGTGCGCAAGCTCTTCTCCCAGATCTTCGCCTACATCAACGTCCAGCTCTTCAACAGGTGCGTGAAGGGGAAGGAGGGGGGGCGGGGTATGGGAGGGGGTAAGAGGCGCCTCATTCTTCCTTCCTCGTGCGCAAGCTCTTCTCCCAGATCTTCGCCTACATCAACGTCCAGCTCTTCAACAGGTGCGTGAAGGGGAAGGAGGGTGGGCGGGGTATGGGAGGGGGTAAGAGGCGCCTCATTCTTCCTTCCTCGTGCGCAAGCTCTTCTCCCAGATCTTCGCCTACATCAACGTCCAGCTCTTCAACAGGTGCGTGAAGGGGAAGGAGGGGGGGCGGGGTATGGGAGGGGGTAAGAGGCGCCTCATTCTTCCTTCCTCGTGCGCAAGCTCTTCTCCCAGATCTTCGCCTACATCAACGTCCAGCTCTTCAACAGGTGCGTGAAGGGGAAGGAGGGGGGGCGGGGTATGGGAGGGGGTAAGAGGCGCCTCATTCTTCCTTCCTCGTGCGCAAGCTCTTCTCCCAGATCTTCGCCTACATCAACGTCCAGCTCTTCAACAGGTGCGTGAAGGGGAAGGAGGGGGGGCGGGGTATGGGAGGGGGTAAGAGGCGCCTCATTCTTCCTTCCTCGTGCGCAAGCTCTTCTCCCAGATCTTCGCCTACATCAACGTCCAGCTCTTCAACAGGTGCGTGAAGGGGAAGGAGGGGGGGCGGGGTATGGGAGGGGGTAAGAGGCGCCTCATTCTTCCTTCCTCGTGCGCAAGCTCTTCTCCCAGATCTTCGCCTACATCAACGTCCAGCTCTTCAACAGGTGCGTGAAGGGGAAGGAGGGGGGGCGGGGTATGGGAGGGGGTAAGAGGCGCCTCATTCTTCCTTCCTCGTGCGCAAGCTCTTCTCCCAGATCTTCGCCTACATCAACGTCCAGCTCTTCAACAGGTGCGTGAAGGGGAAGGAGGGGGGGCGGGGTATGGGAGGGGGTAAGAGGCGCCTCATTCTTCCTTCCTCGTGCGCAAGCTCTTCTCCCAGATCTTCGCCTACATCAACGTCCAGCTCTTCAACAGGTGCGTGAAGGGGAAGGAGGGGGGGCGGGGTATGGGAGGGGGTAAGAGGCGCCTCATTCTTCCTTCCTCGTGCGCAAGCTCTTCTCCCAGATCTTCGCCTACATCAACGTCCAGCTCTTCAACAGGTGCGTGAAGGGGAAGGAGGGTGGGCGGGGTATGGGAGGGGGTAAGAGGCGCCTCATTCTTCCTTCCTCGTGCGCAAGCTCTTCTCCCAGATCTTCGCCTACATCAACGTGCGGCTCTTCAATAGGTGCGGGGGGGCTGGGGGGAGAGGTTGCTATTTAGGGGGTTTACGAGGTGAGCTTTGAGGCCAAGTCAGAGGTGCCTCAACTCAATCCGCCTTCCTCGTGTGCAAGCTCTCTTCTCCCAGATCTTCGCCTACATCAACGTGCAGCTCTTCAACAGGTGCGTGAAAGGGGGGATTGGGGGGAGAGGTTGCTTTTCAAAGGGTTTACGAGGTGAGCTTTGAGGCCAAGTCAGAGGTGCCTCAACTCGATCCGCTTTCCTCGTGCGCAAGCTCTTCTCTCAGATCTTTGCCTACATCGAGGTGCGGCTCTTCAATAGGTGGGTGAATCGACGGAGGGAGTGAAGGTGGAGGGAAGCGAGGGGGGAGGTGTCGGTGGGTGTGTGTGTGTGTCCATCTGCTGTCATTGTGTGTTTGAGCCACTGTTTCTCTTTGCCTACGCTAACGTGCAGCTCTTCCCCTTTTCCCTCTCCCCTCTCCCCTCTCCCCTCTCCCCACCCCCCTCCCCGTCCTCTTTCAGTCTGCTGCTGCGGCGGGAGTGCTGTTCGTTCAGCAACGGGGAGTACGTGAAGGCAGGGCTGGCAGAGTTGGAGCGGTGGATCTACGATGCCACGGACGAGTATGCAGGCTCCGCGTGGGAGGAGCTCCGATTCATCCGCCAGGCCGTCGGCTTCCTGGTGAGACATCTGAGTCGACTCAAAACACGACTCATTTGAGTCGACTCGAAACAAGTCACCGCAGTGGATATATGAGGCGACGGAGGGCCATGCCAGGTCCGCGTGGGAAGAGCACTTTGTTTTTGTCAGTCTTGCGCTGAATTTCAATACGCACAATTCGTCCGCCAAGCTGTTGGCTTCCTGGTGAGATTTGCTCACATACTGCTGCAATGTGTGCTGTGTGTGTCCCTACATCCCCACGCGCATCGATCCATTCCACCGTTCAACAGCCGGCACAACCACCTCATCCTGCCATCCTCCTGTCTACTGCAAATCCCCCCTCTCCCCCTCCTCCCCCCCCTTCAACCCTTTTCCCCTTCTCCCACCCATGACTCTCCCACACCACAGATGCTCCATCAGAAGCCCAAAAAGTCTCTGATGGATATCAGCAGCGACCTGTGCCCTGCTCTCATCAACCCATTGCACCATACAACAACCCTGCCATTCCCCCTATCTGCTGCACGCCCCCCACCCCTCCCCTCCGTCATGACCCTCCCACACCACAGGTGATCCATCAGAAGCCCAAGAAGTCTCTGGAGGACATCAGCAGCGACCTGTGCCCGGCGCTGAGCATGCAGCAGCTGTACCGCATCAGCACCATGTACCGTGACGACAAGTACGGCACGCACTCCGTGGCGCCCGCTGTCATCAACGCCATGCGTGTCAAGAGCACCGAGGAGTCGGCGCTCAATGGCACCAACTCTTTCCTGCTTGATGACGACTCCTCGTACGTCCCACTCTCTCTCTCCCTCTCTCTCTCGTCTTCTGGTTCGTTGTTCTGGCGTTGTTCCTCTCTTTTTTCCGTTCACAAGTTCCTTCCCGTGCTTCCAAGCTGCACGCCCGTGTCTCTGTGCTCTGCGCACATCTCACCTCAAGTTGCCCATCGCTACAAAGCCACTGTGCCCGACAGCTCTCTCTGCTACACTACTGCTGCCATCTTCCACTTGCAGAAAATGAAATTCCCTTTGTTTTTCTACCCCTTACTCTCACCATGTGTGTGTGCATGTGGCAGGGTGCCATTTGCGGTGGATGACATATGCAAGGAGCTGCCGAACCTCTCTCTCAATGGGTTGCACATGCCGCCGCACCTCCGTGACTCAGGGCCCTTCCACTTCCTCTTCTCCTAGCGCCACTGCCACGCTCTGCACACCACGCCACGCGCTGCCAGCAGCATTAGTGTATATTGCCTGTAGCATGGCTTTAGTATTTTGAGTTCTGAGGGTAGAGTAGTTGCAGCTGTGATGTAGTGCCCTAGGTAGGGTGGTGGTGTTTCACTTCGTGCCAGCTGGCAATTGCTGCATGGCAAGAGTACCCATAGTAAGCTGACACTTGTTTGGTGCGAAGGTAATTTTTGTTCACAATGTCTTATTAGTAGCACGGTACTACAGTTAGTAGAGTTCGGCCAGCCATTCAATCATTCTAGTACAGTAGCACAACTCTGGCTGCAATACTGGTGATTATGGTATCATATGCTCATTCTTGCAGTTCTTTCAAAAATATGGGACAAAGTGAACTGCAGCACCACCTTCCTGTGAATGTCTGCTGCAACGGTGCATTATGCTTGAACCTTCAGAAGCAGACACCTCGCCATCATCATTCATGGTTGCCTGAATCATTTAACAATCAATTTTCAAGCACAGGGGTTGTTATCACAATATCCCTCCCTCCCTGCATTTGATCTTCCTCACATCATCACCACCTGTTTTACTTCTTTGGTGTGTAGATCTAATTTTAGTACAGTTGCCAGGCCTTGTGTGACGGCAGAAAGCACCTCTAGCAGCCTCTACACTTCTGTGCGCCCCTGAGATTACAAGACAGGGCTCAGGATACAATGCGGCCAGCATCCATTCCTTCTCTCTGCTGCCTCTTCAGTGCACGAGATAACGGCGGCGTGCTCAGGACTGCCGTAGTGCTGCTGCTGCTGCTGCAAGCTCACCAACACTACCCATTATGAACCAACTGTTCCTTCCAAAACAGCTTTCAATATCCCCGCTTGCAACTCACTCCCCTCTGCTCCCAAGCCCACACCAATTTTGTGAGCCACTTGCAGCTGCAGGCCTGCTTGCAACGCAGCCCTCCCTGCCAATGCTCCAAGCCCCACCTGTCCTGTTACATCAATACATGTAGCAGGTCTCCTGTCAACCTTGTATCACGCCACCAACACACTGCTCTGCACTCAAGTATCCAGTCCCAGCACGAAACACTTATCCGCCTAACCACTGGTACCCCCAGTGCTGCAGAGCTCCTGTCAGCAAAAGCCATCATTTTCGTTCCCTTCCCTCACCCTCCATCCTGCTCCGCTCACGCTGCACCTTCCCCTTCCTCCTTCACCTTTCCCTCCACTTCCATCGCCTCACTCTCCTCCTGCTTCACCTTCCCTCGCACCCCCTCCTTCGCCTTCGTCTCCTCTTCATTCGCTTCCTCTTCTGCTTCTGCTGCTCTGCTTCCCTCTGCGCTCGCCCCTTGCCCCTGCTTCTCGCCTTCCCCAGGCCTCGCTTCCTCCTCACCTGCACCTTCATCTCTTTCCTTCTCCTTCTCCTCTCCTTCCACACCATCCATTGCGTTCTCCTCCTCCTCCTCCCCTTTCTCGTCCTCCCCCTTCTCCTTCTCCTTCTCCTTCTCCTTCTCCTTCTCCTTCCCCTCTTCCTTCTCCTTCTCTTCCTTCTCCTTCTCTTCCTTCTCCTTCTCCTCTTCCTTCTCCTTCTCCTTCTCCCTCTCCCTATCCTCTTCCAACTTCCTCTCTTTCTCTCTCTCTGCCGCTGCCGCAGCAGCAGCAGCTTCTGCCTCAGCCTTAGCCTTCGCTTCAGCCTCTGCAGCAGCAGCAGCAGCAGCAGCTTCCTGTTCCGCCTTGCGTTTCTCCCCTTCAGCTACCACCTTGCGCCAGTGCTGCCTCTCCACCAGCAAATTCTCATACCGCAACTGCAGCGCCCTTTCCCGCTCCGTCACACTTGCTAGATCAGCCTGCAGCGTCTCTATGCGGCGGGGCGCGGCCAGCACCTCCTGGGCGTGCAGCGCGCGGAAGCACTGCAGCTCCGTTGCTAGCGTGCCCGCCTCCCTGTGCGCCGCCTCCACCTGCTTCCACAGCGCCTCCGCTCGGCTCTGGAGCGGCACAGGCAGAATGGAGAAAATGGGGGAATGTGGGGGGGGGGGGGGGGGGGGGGGGGGGGGGGGGGGGTTTGGGAGGGGGAGGGAGGGGAGGGTGGGTGGGGGGAAAGGGGGGGATGTGGAGAAGAGGGGCATGGGGAGAGGGAGGGAAGGGAGAACGTGGTTGTCAATAGAAGGGGATGAGGGATGACAGGGTTTGAAGGAGAGTGAATCCGACGGGTGCCAGGGGTTTGCAAGCTGAGATGGAGAATAAAACGCCGTGGGTTACAGCTAATGGGAAAGGTGGCTGAGCAGGGACGGGGTGAGTGACGGGATGCAGGGGTGAACCGAAACGAGCGGGTTTCGAAGCAGCAACAGCTCAAGGCAGCTCGAGTCCCTTCCCGCATCCCGTCCCTCCCCATGCATCCCTTCCCTCCCAATGCATCCCTTCCCTTCCCCGCCCTTCCACCCCACCTCGAACACACCCACCGTCCACACCCCCTCGCCCTCCCCAACCGTCCTCCCCTCCCACCCCGCCCTCCCATCCCTCTGTCCCTCCCCCTCCGTCCTCCCCTCCCCCGCTCCGCCACGCACCTGGTATCCATGCGACATGACCTTGGCCTTGTGCTCCAGCTTCCCGCACCGCTTCCCCTCGCTCTCCGCCGCCTTGCCCACCCTCTCCGCCACAGGGCGCAGCGCCGCCACCACGTCCGCGCTCGCCGCCAGCGACGCAAGCCCCCAGGCAGCCTGCGCGGGGAGGTAGACCAGGTCGTCCGCGCACGCCTCCCACGCCTCCCCCCACTCGTCCGCGCCCGTGTCCTCCTGCCCCAGCGCCATGCGCACGTACCCCGCCTCCTCGCTCAGTAGCGCCCGCGCCTGCCCGTGTTGCATGGGGGGATGGGGAAGGGAGAGGCGGGGGGGGAGGAAGGTGGGAGGGGGGGAGGGGGATGGGAAGGGAGAGGCGGGGAAAGGAAGGTTTGGGGGAGAGGGGAGGGGAAGGCGAGAGAGAAAAGCGCGAGAAGGGAAAGGGAGAGAAGGCAGAGGGGAGAGGTAAGGCGGCAGAGGAGAGCTTGACGCGCCAAAAGAACATCAAAGGCAAAAAGGCTCCACGCGCGGACACAAACACACAGAGCAAAAGTCGCTCCACCCATTCACCCACGCTTTCTTTACCATAACCAGCACAGCCTCCCTCATGTCCCAACACCCGCTTTTCTCAACCCTTCCCGCCTCCCAAAACCCCCCTCCCCTGCCCTTCTTTCGACCCAAAAGCCTGCCGTGTCCCATTCCCATAAGCGCCGTTCAACCGGTTCACCAAGCCCTGTGCCGCGCATTTCACCAGCCCATTCCGCCAGACCAGTAGCGCCCAGCGCGCCCAGCGCGCCGAGCCCGTGCGGCCACCACACGCACCAGTTAAATAAGAGAGATACTCCCTCACGGTCCTCCAATGAGGTGACTTTTGAAGCGACTCAAAAGCCACCCCGTGTGAACAACCCACCTGTTGCATGAGCTCCTCCTCCACGTCTTCCAATTCCACCGCTTCCAACCCCACCACACTCTCATCCTCGCCCTTCCCGCCCTTCTTCCGCTTCCCCTCCTTGCCCCCTCCCGCGCCCTCCGCCCCGGGCGCTAGCGGATACGCCACCGCGTCGTGCTGCAGCAGCAGCGCCAGCTCCGCGCGCACCATCTCCTCCGCGCGCTCCATCAGCGTCACGCCCGCGCCTCCCGCGCCTCCCCCTCCGCGCCCCTTCCCCGCCGCGTCAACCAGCCGCTTCACCGCTGCGACGGACGGCCGCGGAAGCTCGCGCTGCAGCACCTGCGACCGCTTGCGCAGCCGCGCCTCTTCCGCCGCGCGCCTAGCCGCTTCCTGCCGCTCTTGCACCTCCGACATATCCAGTTCCATATCCTGCTCTTCCCCGTCCTCCCCCGCGCCCCGCGCGCCCTCCGCGCGCTCGTCCTCGGGCAAGTCCGGGACGACGATAGAGTATTCGTTCTTGGGCGCGGGGAGCGACCCCAGCCCCTGGCGCAAGCTCTCGCGCACCTCCGCCAGCCGCAGCTTCTCCGCGCGCACGCTCTCCCCGCCTGGCGTCACCATCCCCTCCGACGGCGTCGCGCCGAACACCGAGTCCTTCCCAGGCGTCCCGCCTACCGACGCCCCGTGGACGCTCCCCGGCGCGCCCGCCCCCGCCAGCGCCAGCCCGCCCGGGGTCATCCCCACGGCCGTGCCGGGCGTGCGGAAGGGCGTGGCGAGCGGGTTGGGCGTGTGCGCCTCTTTCTTCCGCGGAGTGATACCTGAGAAGTCCGAAGGGTGCAGATCTGGGTTCTGTCCGCCGAATAGCGGCGTCTGCGTGTCTCTCAGCCGCGCTAGGTTTTCCGCTTCCATCATGATCGCGTCGCCCTTGCCGCCAGGCGTGCGCTGCGGCGTGCGCAGCGGCGTGAGCGCGGCGGCGGCGGCGGCGTGCGCGGGCGTCTGGCCGTAGCTGGCGAGCAGCGCGCGCGTCGCGGGGTCGCCGTCCTCGCTGGCGGCGAGCGCGTCCGCGGCGTGCGTCATCTTGGCGATCGCCGCGAGCTCCTGGTCCGAGATCTGCGGAGCGGGCAGCGAGAGCTTGGAGCGCTTGCGCACCGCCGCGGGGTCGTTGAGCTGGTTCACCTGCGGAGATGCGCGCACGGAGTGGAGTGACGGGGGGAAGGGGGAGTGCGGGGAAAAGGAGAGTGCGGGGAAGGGGAGAGTGCGAGGGGAGAGTGTGGGGGAGGGGAGAGTGCGGGGAAGGGGAGAGTGCGGGGAAGGGAAGAGTGCGGAGAAGGGCGCACGGGGAGGAGAGGTGAAACGGGGCGAGAGAGGAGAGAGAAGGGGAGAGAGAAGGCGCGAGAAGGGGAGATAAGGAAGGGGAGGGGGGGAAATTAGTGCGAGGGAAATGAAGGAGCACAAAAGAGGTAACAGAAAAAAAATCCTGGAGTTTAAAAAGGAAGAAAACGGTCCAGAAGGGTGAGGAGGTGCAAGTGCAAGCAGCGGAGGGAGGAGCAGCGAGAGAGACGGAGAAAGCCGTGGGGTTGAGGCGAGAGAGGAAATATTGTGGAGAACGGCACTTGAACAGCGAGTTTGTGGGGAAACGCAGCATGGTGGGGAGTGGGGGGAGGGGGGCGGGGGAAGAGGGGGGGAGAGGGGAGGGGGGGTTGGGCGGAGCGAAAGGGAAGAAGGGAGGAACGAGAAGAGCCATCGTAGACCACCATTCATCATCATTTCCTCACGCCCTCGTCCCGCCAACACATGCCCCAACCCTCACCCCCTCATACATCCTTGCCCCCCCACGCGCCCGCCCTGCCCCTCCCCCCTCCCCCCCCAGCGACCTGCAGCACGCTGGCGGGCGCGTCGTGGCGCAGCCGCATCTTGTTCGCCGCCGCGTCGTGCTTGCGCGCCGCCGCCTCCACGTCCGCGCGCCGCTTGCCTTCCAGCTCCTCCTGCGTCACGGGGAACCGCAGCGGCTGCACCGAGTTCGCCTCCTCGCCGCTCGTGTCGAAGAACCCGGGCGGCGGCTTCTTCTCGAACGGAATTTCCGCGTTATAATCGATCCCCTTATTCTTCCGTCGCCGGTAGTTCGCCTCCAGCCCCGCCGCCTTCAGCTCGCGCCGCTTCTGCAGCGACGCCAGCCGCCGCGCCTCCTCCAGCTGCTTCTCGCGCGCCTTGCGCTTCGCCTTCTTTCCGCGCGTGTTCGCCAGGCGCGCGCGCGCCTCCGAAAGCATCTCCTTCTCGTCCTCGTCCATATCCACTGGATCCGGCCGCGCCGGCTTCGCCTCGGGATTCGGGTCGATTTCGCCGGGGCGCAGGCGGCGCGGGTCGTCGGACGCGTCGTAGCCGGCGGCGGCGGAGTCGTCGCGCGAGCAGGCGGCGTCGAGGAGCTTTTCGTAGCGCTCAAGGCACTGCGCGGGCGTGCGGCCGACGATGGGCGCGATAGTGCGCCACTGCGTGGGCATGAGCTTCGCCAGGTGCAACAGCTTCTCGTCCTCCTCGCGCGTCCACTCCGTCTGCACGGCGCGCGCGCAAACTCACGCCCGCACACGCACACACACACGCACACGCAACACGCACACACACACGCACACGCGCACGCACACGCACACGCGCACGCACACGCACACGCACACGAAAGAGGGACGAGGTGGATGGGGGTCGTGAGGCGGGAAAAGGAACAAGAAAAAGAGGTGGGAGAGTGAGCAGAGGGAAGCAGCGAACGAACGTATGCTAGAACGAATAAAACGATGCACGGCATCTTCAACGCCACGGGAGTACACGTGGCGCACTGACGACCATTAAATCGGCCCGTTAGTAGCATGCTGACCCCAGACATATGAGATCAACATTCATGGCGGGTCAACATCCATGGGGGGTCAACACAATAAGGAATTCCTGCAATAAATGGATGGGAGGCCAGAAGCAAGCTAAGCAGCATCAAGTCGACACTGCGCGGACTAATGCAGCGTGGATCGCCTGAATTTCCGAAAATCTCGCCTCAAATGGTGCCCGACAAATGTCAATGGTGAAATGGACGAACAAACAAGAAAACGAGACGGAAAGGTGCAACCGGCAGGGCAATCAAGAACCAGGACAACACAGACGTTTAATCAGCAAATATGCCCCTCCACGCTCCAAATATAGAGCAGTGTGACATTCGGACTGCGCAGACGGTAATCCGCATAGGGACATCCAGCCATACAGACGACGACTAGATTACGCACTGTACCCGGCCACGCGCGCACCTTCTTAATGCTCGGATCCAGCCACTCGTACCACCGCGCCTTGCACTGCTTCGCGGACTTGCGCACGAGCAGCGAGGAGATGCGCGACCACTGGTTCTTGCCATACTTCATCACCGCCGCTTTCAGGATCTCATCCTCCGTGTTCTTCCACACCCCTCCCTTTATCATGATCCTCATCTTGGCGAGCTTTTAGTGGAACAGCCCACTAACGGGAATAGATCTGTATTTTGAAGCACCAAACGCCAACTAATGGGATGGAGACAAGAGATCAAGGCATGAAAGACACCAGTCAGACCGGCTCGGACCTAATGCTGACGGACGCATTCAACAGGAGGCATGAAACTCTAAGAAAATCTAGATGACATATGGTAGGCTAGATTGGAGGAGAACCAGCGGATAGGAGCGACATAAACTACTGAGGAGAAGTGCAAGCAACACAAGGCGAGGCCGAGAAAGCTGCTAGGGTTTTGTGGGTGAGATTGACTAGATGAGGAATTCTGCTGGATGGGATGGGAGGGAGGGAGGGGAGGGACGAACTACACAAACTACGCCTATAATAGCTCTACCAAATCAGTTGTACTTGATAAGAAACAAACTAAGGATAATTCTAGGTATCATACTTCACTGCCGGGTAATTTCACAGTGAAGTGCACCCGTTGTTTAGGATTCCGAAAAAAGGAGCATACATTATAAACATTATTGCATTCACGTATGAAAAATATGCCCATATGTTAGGCACCTCTATAAACCCCTCTCCTTCTAAGACGCTAGGGTCTTTTTTTCCAATTAGTTCTTTGTTTCTGCTCACTCTCGTGTAGCAATAGCAATCACAAAACTAGTGCCCAAACCTCAAAATTCTACAGATTTATTTAGTCACAATCTGGTGGTGACGAACTCCTTTGCCTGCTCTCCTCCCGTTGCCCTGCCAAAGCGACGTGATTAGGTTGGACAACGGGTGTACATGTTGCATAGCTTCCATGACGGTCGGGTGCAAAGTGAGGTTAGGATCGGGGAAGGTAGTTATTGCTTCTTAGTACAGTACTTCTCGAAGGGGCGAGCACATTGCCGCCTCGTCGCTCACAGTATGTCCCTTGTAGTGGTATCGCAATCCGCCTTTCCGTTACTCCTCCTCGCCTCGTGCCGTTCATGTCACGCCCCCGGCAGTACCGGCCTCGCAAATGCCGCCAGTTACGGCAGTGCAACCCAGCCTGCCGCTCTCTGCTGCGCGTCACCCGATCGAGCCGCCTTATCTCGAGAACGTGATCGGGGAGCAGCAGTTGCGCAAGCAAGCCACGGCACGGGAGGCTCGACGAGAGACGAAATTTGCGAAACGGCGTGGAGCAACGACGCTCGCGACAGCAGTGACGACGCGAGCGACGGCGAGGCGCCTCGGCCTGGCGGGACCTCGCGGCGGGTACGGGCTAGCGCGCGGCGATCGCGGGGGGAAGAGCTAGCGTTGGGCGGTACGGCAGGAGGAAGGGATGATGACCGAAGGGAGGCGGGCGGGGAAGTCGGCGAGGGGGACGAGCCGCGTGCGCGCAGGCGACAGGGGGAGAGACGACCGTTGGCCAGCGGGGCTAGGCGGCGGGGCAGGGAGGGAAAGGGGGATCGAGTTGGCGGGAAGGATGGGCGCGCAACAAACGCGGCGGAGTGGACTGAAGGAGAGGCACGGGCGCGGGGATCGGGCGGGTGGAGAGGGGAGGCGGAGCGGAGAGACGACGGGACGTGGTTGGATGATAAGGGGCGAAGGGAAGGCGCGGGAAGTCGCCCCGCAAGGGCGGAGAGCGGGCGGAGCGACGGGAGGGGGAGGGGAAGGGGATCCATCAGCGGGAAGCGCGGTCGGGGGAGCAGCAGGCGGCAGGCGGATCGCAGCGCGGGCGTGGGATCGGAGATGGGCTCGGAGCGCCTCTGGGCTCCCCGCGATCCGCGCGAGTTCGAGGCGCGTTCCGGCGGGATTCGCGCTGGGAGCAGGCGGCGGGCAGTGGGTAGGGGCAGGCCAGGGAATGCGGGAGGCTGGTTCGCTGCGGATGGCTCTCCGTACATTCCCGATGACCCTGCCTTTACTGCTGCTTCTGATTCCAATTCCTCTGATTCTGATTCTGATGCGGATTTGGGTGCTGCTGATCGTGCTCCCAATGCTGCGGCGCGAAGTTCTAGGCGTGAGAAACGGTGGGCAGGGTCGGAAGGCAGTAGCAGCTGGCGCGCGCGCGAGGCGGGGCAGGCGCGCGCACAGCACAGGCGCGCGGTTTCCAGCAGCGCGGGGCTCAATGGGGAGGGGGGACTGGCGAGCGCAGAGCGGGGGAGAATTGACAGAGGAGGATGGACGGAGGCGGAAGGGACGCAGGAAGGGAGAGGAAGCGGGGCAGAGGGCGACGGAGGGCGGAGAAGGAGGAGGGAGGGGACGGAACGGGCGGGGGGGAGTGGGGAGCAGAGGGAGAAAGCGGTTTTGCAGGTGGCACTGCTGCTGCGGCAGCAGCGGGACGCGCGGGGGCGCATTGCTGTGCTGAAAGCGGCGGAGGCGGCGTCGTTTGGCAGCACTCGTGTGATGTGGCTGGCACTGCTCTCCCACGTGGCTGCCCGGTTGCCATGGGCCCGAACCAAGGAGGTGAGCGCTGCTGCTCACTGGCAGGCAGGCAACAGGGGGCATAGCATAGGGCAACGGGGGGATATGGCAACCAGGGTTCTTGTGAGCGATTTTTGAGAATTTTCAAAAATTGCTCACAAGTTCTAGAGTGGCAGGGGGCATTGGGCAGCAGGGGTCATAGGGCCATCATCGTTCTCTCAGACTTGCCCATCTCTTGTACCACCCCTCTTTTTTATTCTACACCCTTTGCTCTTGCCACCCTCCTTCTCGCCTCCTCGCACTGCTGCGCTCCTTCTCCTTTGATGTGTCCCCTTTCCTCCCCGCTCCCAATCTGTTTCTCTCCTCGCGAGCAATCCTTTTTCACCCAGTCTCCGTTCCTCTCGCTCGTTCCCGCGCGTGTGTGCTGCCACCGCTGCCGCGTTGAGAATTCTCTGAAAACTGATTCCAACATGCCATGTGTGCGTGTGTGCGGGTGAGCAGGTGTTTGAGTTTGTGAAGGGGCGGGTGTGGTTCCGCGCGCACCCCATGTGGTATGCCAAGATGATCGCGCTTCTCACCAAGACGCGCCTGCGCCAGCTGCAGCGCCGCCAGGCAGACGGAAGCACAGGGCAGGATGGTGTGGGCATGGGCATGGGGCACGGGTCACGCACACTGCCAGGGAGTGTGTGGGTTAGAGACGTAAGAGGACAGAGGAGCGGGACGTTGGGACAGAGAAGTGGGGCGTGGGGGGAGGAGGGGGAGCAAGGGGGTGTGGTAGGGCCTGTCAGTGGCGAAAGGGATGGAGCGTCTCTGTTTCCGAGCTTTCCACAAGAGGATAGAGACGAGGAGGGTGCGACAGGGGAGGAGGAGGAGAAGGCGGCTGGAGCGAGAAGGCGAGGGGGAGAGGGTGGTAGAGCAGGAGGGCGGGTGAGGGGAGGAGGGGCACGGAGCAACGGGGACTGGGAGGGTGGGGTTGCAGGGGCGGATGGGGTGGCGGCAGTGGTGGTACCGGTGTGGAGACTGGTGCAGGAGATGCAGCGAGTAGGCGTGCCTGCCTCTGCCTCTGTCTGCAACTCCCTGCTCAAAGCTTTCTGTGCTGCTGCCCTGCTGCCCACCCCGCCCCGTGCTGCTGCTGCTGCTGCTGCTGCTGCTGCTGCTGCTGCTGCTGCTGTTGCTGCTGCTGCTGCTGCTGCTGCTGCTGCTGCTGCTGCTGCTGCTGCTGCTGCTGCTGCTGCTGCTGCTGCTGCTGCTGCTGCTGCTGCTGCTGCTGCTGCTGCTGCTGCTGCTGCTGCTGCTGCTGCTGCTGCTGCTGCTGCTGCTGCTGCTGCTGCTGCTGTGATGCCCCTGCTTCCCGTGACGACGATTCCTGTGGAACTGGGAGTTTGGGGGAGAGAGTCGGAGGCTTCAAGGGCCGTGTTAGCGAGAAGGATAGCGGCGGGGAGTATTCTCCGGGTGTTGGGGGTGGGGAGTATGAAGGAAGGAGGGGGAGGAGGGGCGAGAGTAAGAGGAGGGAGAGGGGAGTGGAGGGGGATGAGATGCTGTTTGAAGCAGCGATGCGGCTGTTGGCGTGCATGGTGGCGGTGCAGCGCAGGGAGCAGCAGGTGCAGGAGGAGGAGCGAAGAGCAGCAGCTCGCACTGCCCACCCCACCAACAGCAGCAGCAGCAGCAGCAGCAGCAGAAGGGCTGTGAGAGTGGAGTTCCGGTTCCCTCTCACTGGCTACGAGAAAGGCAGCAGCAGCAGAGGGAGAAAAGGCGGAGGCGTGCGTGGAGGAGAGGGGGGCAGGCCCGGCAGGGGCGGGGAGGAGGAGGTGCGGGTGGTGCTGGGGGAGGGGTGTGGCCCCACTGCAGTGTCGTTCAACATCCTTCTGGACGCGCTGGGGCAGAGCGGGCGACTGGCAGGCATGGAGCAGCTGTGGCACCAGATGGCTTTGCTGGGCATTGCCCGCACACACGTGCGTGCTCTGGGGGAAAGGGGTAGATTCAAATTGTTGGAGGGATTGGTGTATTCATATTTGCTGTGATCTCACGGTGAATTTTGGGACCAAGTGCAGGGAATGGCATGAATAGTCCTGCATGCCATGTGATCGCCTGAAGCCCAGCCTCACTTCACCGCACCTCACCGCACCTCACCGCACCTCACCTACACCTTGTTCCGCCCACTGTGTCCCCGCAGGCCACATACCTGGCCGCCATGTCAGCATACGCACGCCACCGCAGTGCATCGCGCCTTCTCTCCATCCACCGCCAGATGTCGGCAGATGATTCGCTGCCGCCGCCCAGCCGTGCTACGTTGTCCGTGCTGATCGAGTGTCTGGGAGCGGTGGGCGCGGTGGGGAGGATGGAGGGCGCGTTTGACGCCATGCAGGAGCGCGGATGGGTGGTCTCAACAGCGACTTGGAACTCTGCCTTAGCGGCGTATGCTGCACGCAACGACATGGTGCGAGGGAGGGAGGTGGGGAGTGGGGGAGGGAAGGATGGGGGAAGGGACTGGTGTGGATGCGTGGCGGTTGAGCTGGGTATCATTGGTTTGTGACAAGCATGTGTGGAAGGCGCCTAAGCAGACCCTTGCACACACGTAGCGAACGTACATCAAGCAGTGTTTGTCCCTTTTGCTGTTCTTTGCACGCCTCACTTCTCACGCTCACACCTCCCTTGGCCTTACTCCCCTCCCTCTCTGCACCTGGCTTCCGTGCTACGCTCGTCTGGTCCCTGTGTGCAGAACGGCATGTGGAGGAAGTTTGAGGAGGTGATGGCGGGTGGGGGCCACCCAGACATGGCCACCTTCATGCTGCTGCTCTCGCACCTAGCCCAGCGCCGCCAGCTGCACCGCATAGAACACCTCTGGTCGCTCATTGCCCCTCCTGCTTCCGTTTCTACTTCTACTTCTGCTTCTACTTCTGCTTCTGCTTCTGCTTCTGCTTCTGCCGCTGTGCCTGCACCTGCTGCGGCTGCGGCTGCAGGTGCAGCTACTGCAGCGTCTGTGCAGCAGCACTCCTTCCCGCACCAGGCCCACCCGAACCAGCAGCGGGTGCGGCGGGCCCGGGGGGTGCAGGCAGGAGAGGAGCTATACAGAGCAGCAATGCGGGCATTCGGGCAGTGCGGGGCGGTGGGGCGTGTGGTGGATGTATTTGCAGCCATGGTAGAGGCAGGCGTTACTCCCTCTCTCTCCTCCTTCCATGCGCTAGTCGTGCCGTGTGCGCGCGCTCGCAAGATAGCAGTCATGGAGGCCGCTGTTGCTGCGTTCCTCTCCACTGGCCTTGTGGAGGAAAGGCCAAGGGTGAGGGCGAGGGGGGAAGAAGTAGGGGAGGAGGAGGGCGGTGGGACGATTGGGAGGGGAGAGGGGGATGGGGACGGGAAGCGGGGGCGTGGAGGGGGAAGCGGGGATGGTGAAGAGGGGGAGGGAGATCGAGGGATGGTGAGGGAGATGATGTTGGAGGTAGCTGCAGCTTATGCGGCCGAGGGTATGGAGGAACAGGCAGGGCGCTTCAGAGAGCTTGCAGAGTGCTTGATGGTGGTGTTGTTGCAGGGGGTGGAGGGTGGGCGAGGGGGAGAGGGTGCAGATGATGACGAGGGGATGGAGGAGGACAGTGAGGGGTATGATGAGGATGAGGAGGAGGAGAGGAAGGAAGAGCAGCACGACCATACTGATGGTGGTTATGATGATGGTGATGGTGATGGTGATGGTGATGGCTGTGATGGTGATGATGATGGTGATGGTGATGACATGGTCGAGGGAGATGAGCAAGGAGAGCGGGGAGACTTTGGTCGCAGCTCCCTTCATACTGGGCTTCAGAATGCCCGTGCCCGTGCCCGTGCCCGTGCCCGTGGCTCCAGTGGGCTTCCTGGTTGGGGACCCCAAGTTGTGCAGAGCAAGGAGGGTGGATGGGGAGCAGCAGATGAAGCAGTGTCGCTTGGAAGCCAGCTACCTGCGGTGGCAACAGCTTGGCCTGCTGCCTTTAAGCCGCTTGCGCAGGGAGATATGATGCCCGGTGATGAAAGCTTGAAGATGTATGGTGTTGGGAGCAGACTGGGTGACGCAACAGGTAGGACTAAGGGTGGGGAGAATGGTGAAGTGACGGTGATGTTGCGCAGGAGTGACAGCAGCAGCAGCAGCAGCAGCAGCGACAGCAGCAGCAGCAGCGGCGGCGGCGGCGGCGGCAGCAGCAGCAGTCACACCAGTCACAATGGCAGCTTCAGCATTGCTAGTATTGGCAGTCCTGGTGGCAGTGGTAGTGGCAGTGGCACTGATGTTGGGGAGTGGCAATCAAGCGTACAGCTCAGATGGAGCAACAGGGTGGGATGATAGTGGACGGACAATAGATAGTTCATTCTTTGCCGACAAGAGGCACAGCTTGTTTACTTGGGACTTCCAGGTGTTACAATGTGCAGGAAGCATCATTGGGATTGCAGAGTTCCCTTGATTGAAGGGTACGGTATATGCTGTATTACGCTGGATAGAGGGACGTGCGACTGTTGCATGCACATGCTTACTGTACAGGCTGATGTGGCTAGATGGTTGACAGTAAAGTTCGTAATGGTATGACAATCCAAAGCCTGGAGCTTTTGCTGCCATTTTCATTGCGTGGACTGTACAAAAGCGTCCCGAAAATACGTGCACAACTGACTCCATGGTGCGCGACAGGGCTCAGGTTATCAGTGTAATTTACCCTTCTACACTGATTACAAGGGTGAAATTTTGGGTCTACACTGATGTGCTGGGGTAATTTTTTTATGAGTTAGTGTTACACTGATCAGTAAGTGTATCGATGTAGGCCACACTGATGCCTTGGGGTAAAGTTTCCCTTAGCGAGGATTACACTGAAGAGCGTACACGGACCCCCACACCCACCCCCCCGCTCCCCCCCCTTCCCCACAAACAATCGGTCGAGGGGGAGGGGAGGCGAAATTCTCGCCAATTTCGTAAGTCCTCCCCTTCCCCCCCCGCCCCTCACAAACAATCGATCGAGGGGGAAGGGGAGGCGAAATTGTCGCCAATTTCGTAAGTCCTCCCCTTCCCCCCCGCCCCTCACAAACAATCGATCGAGGGGGAAGGGGAGGCGAAATTGTCGCCAATTTCGTAAGTCCTCCCCTTCCCCCCCGCCCCTCACAAACAATCGATCGAGGGGGCAGGGGACCTGGGAGGCAGATAACTTTCTCGCCACCTGTCATACACACCTAATTTACACATGGTCAGTGCTTGAAATAAAACCACACTGATGATGCAGGGTAAAAATTTCAAAACCTGATGTTACACTGCTCTATCAGTGTAATGGAAAAGTACACACTGCCCATAAGGGTTTTTGAAAAAGCTACACTGCCAATCATGAGTAGGCCAAAACCAAACCTGAGCCCTGGTGCGCGACCAGGTGGGAGGCCACTCCAATATCGCAGTGAAGTTTGGCTATCACATTATCCCAGGTGATGAGGTGGCAACTTATCACCATAACAAGAGCAGCATTTGAGGAGACAACATTGGACAGCTGCGCTATTGGATCAAAGGAGTGGTACAGTAGAGGTCCAAGAAGTCTTTCATAGTCCGAGAGGAGTATAAAGTCAACTTGTGTGGTTCAGTTCATTACAAGAAAAACTCCAGAAAGCACACAAAGCAGAGAGCAGAAGAACACAGCAGCCGTACGGAAGAACATGCACGAACACAAACACACGACCTAGCCAACCACTGCATCACAGTGCAGTCAGACAAGCTATTCCCTACAAGACACTATGTGAGGCCTGCCGCCCAAACCCACTCCGTGACAAGGCCACACCCACAACTAGAGACCCTTTCGACGAGGGCAACAGCGGATGTTGCCGGCATACCACTTCCCTTCCACGCCACTTCAGCCAACCACATTCGAAAAGCACATTCTAAGCGCCTCCTGTCCCTCACGCCTTCCTTATTGTCCGCTGGAGGAGGCAGGACGGAGAGCAGGAGGCTTATTTATCGCACACGAGCCAGAAGAAACTAAAAGCGAAGCCCACTCGCAGGGAGACCGTGTGAAGGAGAGAGGGTTTGAGAGAGCCCGACGAGGAGATGAAGCTGCAGTTCACAAGGTGAATGCAGCAACCGGCAGCAGCCACTTTCCTAGGCACCAGCGGCCCCACGTCACGGCCGCTTATTCCTCACTTATTACTGCCCCCAGCCGTTGCACATCATGCTGAGATGACTCTCAGCCCGGAAAAGATGGAATGAAAAGAAAATAAGGGATGCGCTCTAAAGGGGGCGCGAAGGCACGAGAGTGCGCACAGTGAGCTACGGGCAGTACGTGCCCTCCGCCGAAACTGACGGTCACACTAATGACGTGCCGATGTTTGCGCGAGAGAGAGAGCGAGAGTGAGAGCGAAAGGAGGAAGAGATGATCGAGTTGATACAGACAGCGGAAGGTACGGAGACCGAGAAAGCCTCCACCAGCCATAGCGAACCCTGACCCATCGCCCCAGGATACTTTCATTTACAGGAACGACGTCTGCACCGACATCAGATGCCACTCAAACTCCTCCTCAGACGGCAGCGGCTGCTCGCCGTCAGACTCGCCGGCACCGTCACAGCCTTCCACGTCCTGGCCGTCAGAATCGCCGGAGGCACTGCTACCGGACGAGGACAGCGTGTCGAAGTAAGCGTCGTCGAAGCTGCCGCTGCTGCCGCTGCTAGCGCTGCTGATGCTGCTGCTGCGCTTCAGCTCCTGGCCGTTCTCCTCGCCGTCCGACTCGCCACCGGCACCAGCGGCGTCGAGCTTCTTCCTCAGACCGACTGGAACGTCGTCGCCGCAGCAGCGGTTGAACCACGCCTCGAATTCGTGCATCGAACCGGGATGAACCTTCTCCCCAGCTTCTGCTCCCGCGGGCGCAGGGCTCGCAACCTTGCTCACTCCGGTCGACGGCATGGTGAAGGCGGGAATGTCCTTTTGAGCTTCCGCGCTCGGCTTTCCAATGTGCTGCGACGCTGCTGCGCGCGCGGTAGGTGCAGCGGGGGTGGAGGGTGCGTTGCGGGTTGAGGCTGCCGCCATTTGCTGCAAAAGCTGCGCGTTTTGTTGTCGCTGCTGCTGCAGAAGCATAAGGAGCACATGGCGCTGCTGCTGCTCCCACTGCTGAAACATCATCTGCTGCTGGAGGTGAAGCTGTTGCTGCATCTTGTTCTGCGGAGGCTGATTTGCCATCCTACCTTGATTGCTGTTGACAAGTCCAACGGGCGGCATCCTGTTTCCGCCGATGGCGGCGGCGCGTAGAAGAGCGGCCGTCGCGGCCATTTGACGGCAGCGTGCTTGCTCGAGCAGTAATGCGGAGGGTGGCGCGGGCTTGTCTTTTGACGCGTTAAGCATCCCTTGCGAGCTCGCTGCGGCAGCGGCGGCGGCGGCGGCAGCTTGGGCGTACTGGAAGTTGAGCTGTTGCTGGTGTTGCTGCTGCTGCATGGCCAGCATGTATTGTTGGAGCATCTGTGGCGAGCCGGGGGATTGACCGAAGGGTTGCACAGGGGAGGGTCTAGGACCAGCGAGGGGCGAGCGAGGGGCCATTGACGTCTTTAATGATGTTGAGCGCAGCGGTGCTTGCTGTTGAGCTGTTTGTGGCTTGTAAAGATGGCGATGCTCGCGAAGGTGGCGCTGTTGGGTCTTTTGAACAATGCTGGATTGCTGTTGCTAGAGACGGGAGCGATGCGACTGTGAGCTGGAACTATGCTTTGCTTGAATTGTTGTGTGTTGCTGCTTGAAGATGAGAGCAACGGGGGGCTTTGTACTAGGTCCAACAATGTTTCAGTGCCGAAACGCTCGCTGCGCTTTCTCGCTGTCGACAAGGGAAACTCTTGCTTGCACCGGTTCGCCTTGCGTGAATTGCGGCGTCGGACCTTCCTTGCTGCTTGTTGCTCGAACCAAACAGGGCGCTTAATGTGACGCTGGATGGCCCGTCTATAATTGTACCAGCCTGCTGGGTGCTTGCCTGTCGCATGGGCTCCGAATTTCGACAAGGGAAAAAACTCCCAACCGCGACCCGGTTTTTGTGTAGGCTGGAAGTGTGCGACTCATTTCTGACGTCGTCTGCGACTCTGATCTGCGTCGCTAGCGACCCGGTCGTAGAAATTTCCAAAATCATTGGCGGGTTGTGTCGTGTCTAACGGGAATGGATGTGAAAAGGTTTCCGAATCGCGCTCCCCTGCCTCCCGAGGCAAGGGCAGGCCCTTGGGGCACGAGGCAATAGGCAGGGCAGCAATCATACTTGTCATCCAATGCTCAACACCGATTGATTCGGGTCGCAATTTCGCCTTTGGTCGTCCGAACATGACGGCTACACGTTAGTCTGGCGGGCTGCGTGTGTTTCCCTTTGCTTTGATGTGACCGAATCGCGCTTTCCACCCGTTGAAATGGAACCGTGCACCAATAACGGTGCTGTGTTCGCTGGCTTGCGAAAACTCTCGCGAGCCTCCCAACTGATTCGACAAGGAAACACAGCCGGCTCCAGCAAGAATACACACCGATCTGGTTGACCCATTTCATCCCACACAATTATCATCGGTGAAACGCACGAGTCTGAACAATTATCAAGGGCTTGCTGAGTCGTGTAAAAAGCCGCTGATGTTTTTCTGAGTGTACCTTGACTATCTATTGACAATAAATCTGGATCTAACAAATGCCAGAACCATCTTCCCCATAATTGTACAGAAATTTTGCATGCTACGAGCACATTTGATTAGCTAGAGGTATTTGCGTTATTCATGTCAAAGCACTTAATTTCTTGCGAAGGAGAAAAATACATTATGACAGGCTTTGGTGACGAAGGACAAAATTATTCAGCCCCCACCTGCATCAAAGTTACCGTACCATGCAGCCGAATCTGTGGAGTGGTGGTTTTGCTGGCTGACTGACCAGTGATCACTCCAGATATGGGGTTTCTCAAACACAGCTCTCCTGCTTGCCCCATTGTCAGTTTGGAAACGATGGAACAAAGGGAAGCCTAGTCTGCAAATTGATGCATTGCATGCCATTAATACGCGTTAGAATCAGCAGCATATTTAGCCACAATACCCTACAATGCAGAGCAACCTATTCACTCATAATTCCCCACCGTCCGCCTTTCCCATCACCGGCAGCACCCCATGCCTCGCCATAGCCGCTCGAATCTGCTCCTGAAACATCTCCCTCCCTCGCGCTCTCAACTCTGTCCTGTACGCTGTGCTGCGAAACGCCTTCTTGATATCAATCCCAGGGCAGGGATGGTACCAGAGGCGCACGGAGTACCCGCACTGCAGCGCCGTGCGCACAGACACTCTCCTCTCGTGGTAGTCCCTGCCGATGGCAGCCTGGCAGCCACACTCCCCTGTGTCAGCAAAAAACTCGCGGCACGGAGCCCAGGTAGGGGGCCGCTGCAGCAGGTGCAGGGCTTTAAGGAGCTCGGGCCACATCCAGAAGCACCCTGAGCCACACACTCGGATGAGCGCCTCTAGCTTGTTGGCATCGCCGTACGCCACCCCTGCTTGTTGGTTGGGTTGGATGGTGGCCGGGGGATGGGAGGGTGTAAGAGGGGGTGGATAACGGTGGAGGTCAGTAACGTGGGGATGATCACCGAGTAGAGGAGGAAGGCAGAGGAGTGAGAGAGATTTGAAGGGAGAACGCATGGTGAGACGGTGAGAGGGCTGTCGTCACTGCCAGACGCAAGGCCAGCCCATGGGTAGTGGTAACTGAAGTGGGTGCAAGCAACGCATTGTAATTCTTAGGCGCCTCAAGAACAGACAGCAGTGAGTGGGTGCGAGTACCCACACTGCGATTCGAAAGCAGCGCCTCCATTCCTGATAGTAATAGCGGCATTGCTGAATGCAGCATGAATCAATGCAACTAACAAGCAACAGCGCCGTCCTTGAAGGTAGCCACGGATAAGCGGCTTCTCCCACACCATCTCCCTCTCTCCCCCCCACCCGCTCATCCGTCACCCAGGGTGATACGCAACCCCGCGCACCTTGTTTGAAGCGGTGGGGGGAGTCGTTGCGGAAGGCCACTTGGCTCTCCCACTGCCCGGGGGCGTGCGGGCGGATGTTGCGGAAGAGCGACGAGGCGTTCAGCCATGCTGGGTGCTGCAGGCTCTGCACCTTCACCATCGCCACCTGGTCAGGCGATGCCCAGTTGGATGGATGATTGGTTGGTCAGTTGGTGCACACACAGGGAGGGTGCAGTGCAGCATATCACTGAGAATGTGCGAGGAGATGCGGGGAGGATTGGGGATTGCCGGGAGACGTGTGATGCCAGGTAACATGGTTCACAGTCAGCAGCATGAAAGGCACGGAGGGCACAGATACGAAAGAGGTCCAGTGCTGAAGCAGCCCCAGCAGGCTGTAGCGACACCTACCCCCTTCCTCCCTGCCCAAAGCACCTACAAAGCAATGCCACGTTTCCTCAGCACCCCTGCTCCTGATCCCTTTCCCGCCTGCACCAGCCCCCGTCCTGCTTGCCCCTACCCCCCTCATTGCACACCCCGTGCGACCTGCACCCCTCCCATGCACACCTTGAAGACAGTGAGGCCCTGGGCCTCGTAGCGGTCAGCTGCGGCGACGATGCGGTGCCATGCCTCGCGCGTGACGAACTGGTTGCCGTCCCACGGCAGGATCCACCTCGCTCCAGATGCCTGCCCGTGCTCCAGCATCGCGTTGCGCGCCTCATTCTGCGCTGCACAGAGGGTAGACGGGAGACGGGTTGGGAAGAGAGGGAAGGGAACATGGGACTCGCCCCCGCCGCCCTCCCGTGCTCCAGCATTGTGTTGCGCGCCTCATTCTGCACTGCGGGGAGGGCGGCAGGATGGCGCAGGGGAGGGATTGATGGGAGAGGGAGAGGGGGGAGCGTGAGGGGAGCGGATGGGACATGGCGGAGCAGGAGTGGGTGTGGTGGGCAGAGAGGGAAGGGGACATGGGACTCAGTTGATGGGGTACAGAATGGCAATGAGAAGAACCGCGAGTGAAGTGAGGGCATTGTGGACAAAGGGGGTGAGAAGGAGGAAGGTGCGATGAAGGAAAATGAAGGAGAGGGATATGATGGCACTGAATTTGGACGGAGGAGAGGAGTGGTTTTGTGATCAGCTGTGCTTCAGGTGCTCTTCAGGTGCGCTTCAGGTGTTGGATTTGAGACGGTGCCATGAATCCCATGTTAGACAGTCGCGACACATGCCTGGGATACAAAAGAACAATGCATATGACAGCAGGCTAGGGTAACTGTGAGAAGAGCAACAATCACCCAGATGTGAAACGATGCTGAAGCATGGCACTCTGCACTTGTGCGCATGTGCTCACCTGACACGGCTGCACCCCATTGGTCCTCGGGAAGCTGGGCCACGTGGCTGTAGTTGATTCGTCGCACTATGATGTCCTGATGGACGGCACACAGCGCGTGGTGCACGGGACATGGCACGGGATTGATTGGCCAGTGGGGACGGTGAGAGGTATGGATTGGTGAGGAGAAGGGCCAAACTGTGGCGAGAGGAAGAAAGAGGGCAGGAAGAACAGGTAGGAATGGGAATTGGGGGAGAGGAGAGGTGGGGGGGAGAAATAGAAGGGGGAGAGAAAAGGGGAGGTGGTGGGTGGGTGGATGGGAAGGAGGAAGCTGAGGTGAGGACAGGAATGCGCCGAGCAGAGGAGATGCAATGAGAGCTGCGTTGACTAGGCGCCATGGCCAGCGCCGTGCCACGCAGTAGTGTGCTGGGTCGATGATGATACACACGTCATGTGCCATCATCCAATGTTGCTGGGTTGAGTGGCCGCAGTGGGTGCGTGCATGGGTGCATCGGTACACAGATGCACACTGAGTATAGCGCGCATGGGAAGGAATGAGAGGCGGTAAGGCGGATGCTAGAGCACCCAGCAGCAGCAACACCTGGCAAGCAGTGCGCGCCTCTCCACCACACACAACTCCCTCCAATCCACCTCATCCCACCCTCCTCTTCTTCTTCCTCAGTATCCTTTCTCCTGCACATACCGACCGTCCTTGCCTTCCCCCCATCGTGCTACTCACTGCATCGCCCCGCTGCTCGCCTCCACCTCTTTTCCTCCCCCCTCTCATTGCTCTCTCGCTCGCTCATCCTGCTCTCCTCCCTTTCTGTCCCCCTCACCTCGTCGCCATACCCGTGCGCCTTGAGCGCGCGCACCACCAGTTGCTCCGAAGTTTCGTTCACCACGTTGTTCACCACCCACACGCGCCGGCACCCCGCCAGCCGCCGCGGCTCGTGCTGTAACGCGTACAGCGTGTTCTCGTACAGCTGCCCGTCGCACTGTAGCGGCGGGATATCGTTCCCGATCATCCGGTACAGAATGAATCGCGGCGGGGATTGCGGAATGCTGCCCGGGACAGCCACGTCACCGTCCCCGTCACCGTCATCGTTCTGAGGCGCCACGTGGCCAGGATCTCCGAAGCCGGCGTCCCAGTCGTCGGCAAGCCACGTGGCGAGCCACAGCAGCAGGAATGCGCCCACGCCGATCACCACAAGGCGTCGCCCGAACTCCCCCCGCTTGACCCGCCGCGAAGGCCGCGAGGCGGATGCCGTGGCGGGCGAGCCGAACGCGGAGGAGTGGGCGGAAGGAGTGGTTGCGGGGAGCGCCATGGCGGGAAGCCTGAGACCAGAGTCAACGACCGGCGACAGAAATGCAATGTTCCTCAAACGGTGTCGTCTCGCCTCCTAGAACTGTCGCTTCGCTTTAGAGCTACCTGATTTATTGATCGGAATTGGCGCTTCCAGGGTGGCGTCGAGCGAGTGTCGGAAAGATGTTCAGGCACGTATAACCAAAGGTTATCCACATGACAGAGAAGAAACCACCTCAAAGGTCGAGCCAACAATTTAATTAGCTTATTTGATAACCTCATTCCGATTTCGACCATATACCCTTCCAATTTTGCACCAAACAGAAAACCATTTGTGTTGAATTTGCATAATGTGAATTTTGATAATTTCCCTATACTTTTTCCTTCTTCAGAAGCGGGGCAGTGTTCCGTTTCTCCAAACGTTACACGAGTTCATTCATAACGCAGATTTTGGAGCTTTGGCAACCTCTGGCGATTGCGTGCGTGCGTGCCCTGTGACACCCGCTTGTGTCGTTGGGACTGAAAGGGAGTCTCGCGGGACATGCCTTCCGGATTGCATAGCTTCAATACTCACCACCTGCTTCCATGGCGTCACCGCCACTCATTCATGCTTCCTGGACTCCTGCTAAATCCCTTCCTTGCCTTCCCCTTCGCGCCCCTGCAGCTTCCCCGCGCGGACGGCGCATCACAACAGCTGGGGGATCTTTCCGCTTGCCCGTCGCCGCTGCCGCCGTCACCACTCACCGCCGCTGCGACGCGTTCCCGTCGCCAACAGCAGTCGCGCTGTCCTCCGTGCGACCTCTCGCTTCCCCGGCGACTCCGCGGGCCTCTCGCGCTCGCGCCGCATCCGCGCGCCTCCTGTCGCCCTTCACCCGCGCGCCTCCCTCTCTCCGCTTCACCCGGCGCGTGTACCAACATCTCGCCAAACCTCACCTCTTCCCCAATCCTTTACCCTCATTACTCAATTCCAACCGCCGAACCTCTCGCGTGAGCATTCCCCGCCGCGCCTTGCGGCCTTGCCGCTCTCTCGCTCTCCTCGACCTCCTAGGCCCTTTGCTCGCCGCCATCGGCGCAGCCTCCGCCGCCGCCTTCGCTGCCGCCGTCGCCGCGCTCCCGGCTACCCTGACTGCCGTTACCGCTGCTACAACCGCCGTCGCATCGAACGCGACAGTCTCGTCGGTAGCACTCCCACTGCTGCAGCTTCTCGCGGGCGTGGGGGGCGCAGTGGGAGTAGCGACTTTAGGTCTCATCTGGACCGTACTGGACCGACTGCTCTGCGTCGTTCTTCTCTTCAACTTCGTCGCGGGACTGCTGAGCCTCGCGCGCGATTCCTACCTGCTGAGCCACGCGCGCCGCCGCAGCCTGCAGGACCCCACGCTCGTGCGCATCTGGGCGGCGGGGCGCGACGAGGACGCGCACGCATACGCGCACGATGGGGAGTCTTTTGGGAGCGGGAGCGGTATTCCCGAGGGCGTGGCAGCGAGTGTGAAGAGGATTTTCCTGGACACAGGAGACCCGCGGTTTGACTGGTTCGTGCCGGGGGTGGTGAGCCTGATCCCTGGCGTGAACGGCGCGGCGTGGTTTCTGGCATCATGGCACTCCTCGCCCTTCCTCTCACGCGGCCTCAAGCGTCACCTCGCCCTGAACGCTGTTGTCTACGGGCTGCCTGGCCTTGCCTCCCTCGTGATTTTCGCCCTTGGTGTCCCCTCCCCCACCTCCCTCCTCCTCTCCCCCTTCTCCTCCCTCGCCTCGGCTCTCCTCTCGCCGTTCAGCCAATCAGCGGCTGCCACTGCAGCAGGGTCAGCAGCAGCGGCGGCAGCAGCAGGGGGAGGGGCGTCGGTGGTGGGGTATGGCAGCAGCAGTGCGTGGTGGGTGAGTGTGGTGCTGGGGGCGGTGCAGTTGCAGCTGGAGCGAGTGCGGGCTGTGAGCATGCAGGAGAGCAGGCAGGTGCTTAGAGCGTTTGGGCGTGGGCTCAAGAGAACAAGAGAGAGGCGAATGGGACAGAGGAAATGGATGGAGTGGGGGCTGGAGGAGGAGGAGGAGGGGGGTGATAGGGAACGGGAGGGGCAGTATGGCAAGAATGGCAGGTCGGAGGGGGTTAATGCGGCCGTGAGAGGGGCTTCCGGAGGTGGGCGAGCAGTGAGTGCTGGCAAGAATGGGAATGCTCGAAGCGGTAGCAGTGGCAGCAGTAGCAGCAGCAGGGGAGGTGGGGACATGTGGATGGAAGCAGAGGAGCGCAGGCGGCTGCAGGAGTTTGACGCGAAGCTCGTGGGGAGGCCTCTGCAGCAAATGGGTATGCCATTACCAAGCTGTCATGCACAGTGCCTTGCACACAATGGCGATACCGTTGACAGTGGTGACGGTGGTGACGGTGGTGGCAGTGGGGACAGTGGGGACAGTGGTGGCAGTGGTCAGTAGGGCTGCTCCCAGTGTGGAATTCTCCTGCCTGCCATAGGGCCACGTTGAGGTGCCTCAAAAGGTTGCCACAGGGCAGACCGTGCTCTCCGCATACCGGTCTTGAGAACCGTTCTCTCTGCAGAGACAAAGCCTGCCTCTCACCTGCTCGTTCTCCTCGTGCTGTCTGTTCACTGCGTGCCCAGGCCCACCAGCAGCGTGGACAACGGACGATGTGGCAACATGGCTCACAGCAGAGGGCTTTGCCTGCTATGCACAGGCCTTCCTTCGCCATGCTGTCTGCGGCCAGGTGCCCTTGCCTTCCGTTCCCGCCCCTGCTGCCCTGTGCTTCGCTCCGCTCCGCCTTGCCGCCTTCCCTAGAAGCAACCTTCTGGTTGTTGCATTTCTGCATTGCGCCGGCTTTTCTCCCGTGCCTCCCTCGTTCATGTCACCGTTTCGGTTTCACCGTGAGTCCTTTCTCCTTCATGTGTGTGTATGTGTGGTGCATGGGTGCATGTGGTGCCGGCAGGTGTTATTGGAGCTGACAGCGGAGGACCTGAGGGATGATCTGGGGGTACGCACTTTAGGGGACAGGAAGAGGCTGCTCTCAGCCATTGCACAGCTCAGACTCTGGTTTGGCACAGGGCAGTCGTGAGTGCAGGCAGTGTCAGAATCCCAGTCACTAACCACTGGGATAAAAGGGCTTTTTTATATAGCGGGTGAGTGCGCCCATAACCCCCCCGGCCGACGTGCCTGTAACCCTTCCCTAGGATCGATCGGGGATCACCAGTGGACCTCTGACACCCCCCCGCACTGGGATGCCCGAGGTGCACACACCGGGAATCGAACCCGAGACCTTCGCTCTGATACCATGTCAGAATCTCAGTCACTAACCACTGGGATAAAAAGGCTTGTTTATATAGCGGGTGAGTGCGCCCATAACCCTCCAGGCCGACGTGCCTGTAACCCTTCCCTAGGATCATCGGGGATCCCCAGTGGACCTCTGACAGGCAGCGTGCCAGTACAAGTGCGCTCAGGGGTACAGTATGTAGTAAATGTGACACCAAGTGAGCATACTCGATTAAGCAGTAGTAAACTAGTTAATGTACTGTATTTTCCCGTACAAAGCTCCCTTATGTTTCATGGCATTCAATAGCTAAACTCGTCATTGTTTTGTTCATGGCAGAATTCAAGTTTTGTTGTGGGGTGGTTTCACCAATGCACGTTGTAGTATTTGTGTACACTTGGCAAGGCTGGGAATAGGGCCTTACATTGGGGGACATGCTGGTCCATTAATCTTTTCCTCCAACGTTGAAGGATCCGCTTTGCTAGAAAAGAAGAGGCAAATTGGTAAAGCTTGCTTTCTGTTCCTTGTAATTTGGCATCGTTCTCATTGCAACTGGCCTATTACAACATTGCATCGTTCTAAAACACATGCAAGTACATACTGAACTATACTAGCTATGGAGCCAACCGTCCAAGTGACTGTAGTACGAAAGATAGCCCTGTGGTGGGTGGTGGGAATGTTGATAGAGCCGTTGAAAATAGAGAAACGTGGGTGGAGGGAAATGAACTCCAACCCACGGTTTTTGTGTCAGAGGTCCACTGGTGATCCCCGATTGATCCTAGGGAAGGGTTACAGGCACGGCGGCCTGGGGGGTTATGGGCGCACTCACCCGCTACACAAACAAGCCCTTTATCCCAGTGGTTAGTGGCTGGGATTCTGACATGGTATCAGAGCGAAGGTCTCGGGTTCGAATCTCGGTGTGTGCACCTCGGGCATCCCAGTGCGGGGGGGTGTCAGAGGTCCACTGGTGATCCCCGATTGATCCTAGGGAAGGGTTACAGGCACGGCGGCCTGGGGGGTTATGGGCGCACTCACCCGCTACACAAACAAGCCATTTTATCCCAGTGGTTAGTGGCTGGGATTCTGACATTTTGTAGTTGGAGAAGGGCGTTTAGCGCGCTTCGACGCTGCCAAATATTCGGTACAGGCAGCTTCGCTTTCACAATACACAATTTTGAAAAACACGAATGTGTTTAAAAATTATAATATTGAGAAAGCTTGCTTTCTGTTCCTTGTAATTTGGCATCGTTCTCATTGCAACTGGGGCCTCTGAGACATGGGGAGCAGGGGCTTCCGGTTGCGCGCGATTGCCTCTGTGTGCTGCTCTGAGGAGAGTGCGTGTGTCGGGTCTTGTAGGTTGCGGGAGGCCTTTATCAGAGGTTCGACGTTAGGAGTGACGTACATCTCCTTGGCGGTGTCGCTCCGCCACCTGCCCAGCCTTTTAAAGATCCTGTCTGGCACGCCGGTGTTTGCTGCTACGGTTGCCGCGCCCTTGCGAAAGGAATGCGTGCCGAGCTGCTGCTCTCCAAGTCCGACTTTTGCGAAGGCCTCTTTACACCAATTCCGGATTGTCGTGTACGATGGTGGCCTTTTCTGGCCCTCGTTGGCTGAAGCATGGCCGAAAACGCGAATCAGCGGCCCCTCCGATTGTGGGCCATAGCCCGCGAGTTGGATGAAGCGCCGGGTGCAGCGCACAGGGCACCAAGGATCTGCCGTTACTGAGATGGGTATCCAGGTTCCATGGCCAGCCTGGTCTGTCTTGGAGTGTGGTATGGGGATCCACATAGCCTCGTTGTCAAACTGGATGTCTTGCCAGTTGATGGCTACTAGGTCAGAGTATCGCAGAAATCCGGAGTACATGAGGATGGGGATCAACCCCTTCTGAAATTCAGCAGGATTGGCCGACTGTAGGTAGCTCGCGGACATGTCTCGAACTTGTTGGATCGACACGGGCTCCTTTAGACGGCTAGGTCGCGGGCAGTGTCGTTTCGCGAAGTCGCGTACTTGGGTGGTGAATGGTCCGACGGTCGGGCATTTGCTGCCGGTCATGCGATGGGCGAAGCTGACTGCCGAGCACGTGAGCTGCACTGCGGACCAGGTCGCTTTGCGTTGGATTGCGTACACCAGGTATAGCGCGAGGGTCATGTCGGACGTGGGGAGAAAGGGGAGGTCCACCTTCGTGCAGAACGTGCGGAACTTGGCCCAGTAGGGTTCGTCTGTTCGAATCGTCGAATCGGCGCGAGATCGCGAGATCATGTTGTCAAATCTTGTAGCCTATAGTGAGGTTTGTCTTAGGGGGTACAAAACTTAGGGTTAGCTATATGTACCCCAACCAACATCAATGCATCATCCATTCTTCATTTTGACATGGTATCAGTTAGGTTAGGATCCTGTGGGATCCCGTTCCTCCGTTCTCCGTTCGAGCCTCCCGAGCCTGATCCTAGCTCTCATTCGTCCCGGTTCCGTTGTTACCGCGCGTAGTGCCGCGCCTAGCGCCACTCCTAGCGTCGCGTCCTGCCCGCCCTTTCCCCCCTCGTCGCGTCCCTTTCCCCCCGTCGCGTCGCGCCCTTTCCCCCCGTCGCGTCGCGCTCTTTCCCCCCGTCGCGTCGCGCCCTTTCCCCCCGTCGCGTCGCGCCCTTTCCCCCCGTCACGTCGCCCTGCCCCGTCCCGTCGCCCTGCCCCGTCGCGTCGCCCTGCCCCGTCGCGTCGCCCTGCCCCGTCGCGTCGCCCTGCCCCGTCGCCCCGCCCTTCCCCGTCCCGTCGCCCTACTCCGTCCCGTCGCCCTGCCCTGTCGCGTCGCCCTGCCCCGTCGCGTCGCCCTTCCCCGTCCCGTCGCCCTGCCCCGTCCCGTCGCCCTGCCCCGTCGCGTCGCCCTTCCCCGTCCCGTCGCCCTGCCCCGTCGCGTCGCCCTGCCCCGTCGCGTCGCCCTGCCCCGTCGCATCGCGCCCGCCCTTTCCCCCGTCCCGTCGACCCTACGCCCTGGCCCGTCGCCCTAGCCCGTTCTTCCGCTGCGACTAAGTCCCCCCCCCCCCACTTGAACCCTAATTTGCCTCTTACCTCCTGCTGTTACTCGCCTGCTCGTTCGCGTTAGTTCTCGCTATGGCGACTCCGCGAGTTCTTCGTTTCGACGCTGACGGTAGACCTCTTGACTTTTCCGTCTGGCTTCTTCGCGCTCGCCGTCTGTTAGAGAGTCAAGTCCAGGGGGGCGAGACCCTCTGGTCGCACGCTACTGGTGACCTCCCCGAGCCCCCCGAGCCTGCCGCTTTAGGTCCTGCCCCTGACGATGCTGCTACGGCTCGCTTTGCCCGTCAGCGCGCTGACAGGACGGCTTGGACGTCGCGTGACGCTGCGGCCTGCATCGCACTCAGCAGCCTCCTCCCTGAGTCAGAGGAGGTCCACTTCACTCAGGTTCGCACCGCTGCTGCGTACCTCACTGCGATTAAGGCCCGCTACTCTACTCCCGCTACTGTCTCTCTTGGCCGTCTTTTCCTCCCGTTCCTGTTTCCTGATCTCGCCTCGTTTGAGCGCTCTGCTGACTTGATCGCTCACCTCCGCTCGCTCGACGCTAGTTACCGCGCTGCTTGCACTGAGGCCCAGCTCGCACTGCTTCCTCCCCCTATGGCGATTACTATCTATTTCATCGCCACTAGCCTCCCTGACCGCCTTGCCTCCGTTCGCGACGCGCTTCTGCTGAAGCACCCTAGTGAGCTCACCGTCGATGTCCTTGAGTCTACACTCAAGGACGTCGAGAGCAACCTTCGCTCGGTAGCCGCTGCCTCTGGTGCTGTGCCCCCCCCACTCTTCCACGGGTGCACAGTCCCGCAGTTACCCACCTTTACTGCCTCACTTGCCACTGCCGCTACTGACGCGACTGCAGCTGCTGTTACGACTGCGTCGCGGTCCCGCGGTAGGAGTGGCAAGAAAGGCGGTTCTGGTGGTGGTAGTGGAGGTGGAGGCGGAGGTAGTGGAGGTGGCGTTGCGCCTGGCGGCGGTGGAGGTTCAGGGCCTGGAGAGGCGCCTCGTGCAGTGACTGGTGACTCCACTGCGCCTGCTGGTGGTGGCGACGCCCGAGTTCGTCAGTCGCCTCCTGTACTTCCTGCCCCGGTTGGTGGAGCAGCGGCGTGGTACCAGGCTCAGCGTCAGCAGCAGCTTCTGCAGCACCAGCAGCCCCTCTCCTCCCAGCAGCCTCAGCAGCAGCAGCGGCAGCAGCTGGCTCCAGGGTCGGGGCTGCGTCAGACCCAGCGTGGTGCTGCTTACACTCCCTGCACCTACCAGGTTCTGACAGGCACTCGTCGTGGCCACCCTTGTGGCCGGTTTCACCCCCCTGGTCAGTGCTTTGCTCAGCTCACTGACACGGTTCGTTTGGTCTACGGGGTTGGTGCTCCTGCCCCTGACTGGCTGCCTCTTGTTCAGCGCTACGGCTCCGCTCTGTGGGGCATGTCTGCTGAGCAGTTAGTTGATCTGATTGGTACTCCCCATGCTATGTATGCTGTTGTTGACTCTAGTGTTTCTGACTCTGCTTACTCTGGTGTTGTTAGCTTAGGTGCTAGCCTTGCTCAGTTGCCTGTTGCTAGTGTAGGTTCTTGTGTAGACTCTAGTCCAGCGGCTACCTCAGAGGACGGTTCGCTGTCGTTCACGCTGGACTCTGGAGCCTCTCACTGCTTCTTTCGTGACAGCACGACACTTACGCCTCTTCCTGCGCCTGTTTCTGTGGCGCTGGCTGATCCCACTTCGGGACCAGTCACCGCGCGTCACACTACCACCTTGCCGTGTCCGGCTGCTCCTTCTGGGTCTCTCACTGGGTTTCA